TTCTCTTTATAGTGATAAAATAAAGGTTAGACTTCATAGACTTGAGAAAAGCTGATGTTTCCCTGCTCTTTGAAAATGAGGTGTTTTTTTTTTTGTTATGTTTTAAATGCATGGTTGAAAACAATAAAAAGGTAAGCTACTAGAAACTGGGGCATATTTCAAAGTAAAAACTAGAATAAAGATGACTCATTTAAAAATGTTTCAGGATTTGGGTTTAATTTCATAAGGAGCCAGCAGGTTTGTAACAAAGCCAATGAATGATCTTCCTCCTTCAAGCACTCTTCCAAATTCTAGAGAAAGGTTTAGGTTAGAATGTATTTAGTATCAAAGTATAACCATAGAATGTTGAAGTAAGATGAAAATACATTAGCCTTTGTTTCTAATTTTAATTTTTGCTAGGGAACTGTAGAATTCTTTTTTTAAAAAATTTTGTTTTTATTCTGAACTTAAGCATTGAATAAAAATACCATATATAAAGAACAGAAAAAGAGGATTATACACCAGACTTCAAATCTTTATTAGGAACAATTTGATTTACTTTTAAAGATATAATTAAACATGTAACTTTCAAGATTCTTTTGCTTGTCTGTTTTCTTCAGGCTTTAATATTGTTCTTTTCTTTGAGAGTAGTGTTAGTCCTGGCTATTGTTATACTATATACCCTGTCTGATTTCTCTAAGGATTATGGTTGGAAGGAAATGAACGAGGGACCTCCTTTACCACATGATCTTTCCAGATTCAACACTTACCTTGTCTTGCTCTTAGAACTAGAGACTTACCACCATTAACAGACATCTTAACACAAGATTTCTAATTAAAACCTTGACCAATTTTGTCTGTAAGCTTCATGTTTTTTATTTCTTTCCTTGGACTAGCTAATTCCTACCTCTCACTTTCCATGATTCATTTTTGTATCCCATGCGGTAAAAAATATTTTGTTCTGTATATCGTTGTTCTTTGATCTCTACCCAACTCAGTCCTGCCCCTTCCTACTTCCTATCCACTTCTGTTGTCCCCTTCTGTTGTGTGGTAGTGTACCCTTCATTCTTGATTTCTTCCTAAATTCTTTCCATCTTCTGGTGTTCATGAAAATCTGTTTTTCTCTTAGAAATACCTCATCCCTTGTCACTCTTTTCTAGAAGTACCTATTCTCTCACATCCCTGGACTGTGGCTGGGAGATGGGCTTTGATGGGCATTGGCAGGTTTCTTCTACCATTTTCACTTAGCCATTCTTCTCATAAAAGATTGAGTTCATACAACTACATTACCCATTGAGATTGTTATTACTCTCGTAAACTGAACTTTCCCTCCCATTTGTTCCAGTAAAATTGACCTATTATTGGGTGTTATCCAAACTTCATATTCCATCTCCTATTTCTTACCTCTATGCCTTTGCCCATATCCATGCTCAGAGTATACTCTTATTTATGCTTCTTTAAATCCCCGCTGTATGTTGTAGCATCTCACACCCAAAATGGATGTCAGTATCTTCCCAGGTTTGCCCACCAAATTTCTTTTTGTTCAGGTTACCACCTTCTTCCCAATCATGTAGGTTTGTAACCTGGAAATTACAGTATCATACATCCAGAACTAAAATACCTCAGAGGTCATCTAGTCAAACTTCATTTTACAGATGAGAAAACTGAGGCCCAGAGACTTGATAAGTGATTTACCCTAAGAGTCTCATAGGTAATAGGGTAAAGGTCAGAGCCAGGATAAGAACCCAAGGTCCTCTTGCTCCAAATCCAGCCTTTCTTTTCCGCTGTCCTATATAATCATTCTTGATTCCTCTTTCTCTCTCCCCCACTTCCTTCTTTCTCTTCCTCTCTTCCTCTGCATTCCTCTCTCCCTTCAGCCAGTCCTTTGCCAAGTTCTGTTTGATTCTGTTGCCACAAAGTATATCATATGCACCTATCTCTACACAGCTGTCACCCTAATTCAGGTCCTCATTTCCTTTTGGCTTGATCTCTTGTAATAGTCTAATTGGTTTTCCTGGTTCCTGGTTCCCTCTTTCAATCTGTCCACACCATTATCAAAATAAACTTCATAGGCCACATTTTGATAAAAATGAAAACTTAACAACTCCCTATTGCTTCTGAGAAAAAACCCAAAAAACTCTACAGTCTGGTTCTAGATTTCCGCCCTATTCTGATTTAATATTACACCCCAAATTGGACTCCCCCTGGTTCCCCAAATTGGACATTCTATCTCCCACATCTGTACATTTACATAAACTGTTGTCCATGTGTGGAATGTATTCTTTCCTCTTCTCCTTCTAGAACCTTTTCTTTCTTCAAAACTCATCTTTTTTTTTTTTTTTTTAAAGGCAATTGGTGTTAAGTGACTTCACCAGGGTCACACAGCTAGTAAGTGTCAAGTGTTTGATCTGAGATCGGATTTGAACTCAGGTACTCCTGACTTCAGGGCTGGTGCTCTATCCACTGCACCATCTAGCTGCCCCTAAAACTCATCTTATAAGTTCCCTGTGGCCACTTCAGTTACTAGTATTTTCTTTTCCTTCCTCAATGGAGGACAGTTAGATGGCACAGTGGATTGAGTGCCTGTGCTGGAGTCAGGAAGACCTGAATTCAAATCCAGTCTCATACACTTATTAACTGTATGACCCTGTACAAGTTTGTACAAGTTACAGCCTCTGTTTGCCCAAGTTTTCTCATCTGTAAAATGGGGATAATAATAGTACCTACTTCCCAGGGTTATTGGGAAGAGCAAATGAGATAATAATTGTAAAGTGCTTATTGGCACACTTCCTCACACATAGTAAGTGATATATAAATGTTACCTATTATTATTTTGGATAGTGGGAAGTTTTAAAAGTCTTGACAGAGGAGTTTAAGCTTGTTTTGATAGAAAATAGAAAGCCATGGAAGGTAGTTTTATGCATTACTTTCATCATATCTCTCCTCTACCAAAAGCCTGAATGAAGATTTATCATAATCATGGGTTTTTCAGAGGTATCCATTCATTTTTTTTCCTACATTTTGAGAATTCTGTTCTACTTTTATGTGCTTGACATTATGTAGTGCTTTGCTTGGTGCTAGAGGAGTTACAAAGATAAGTAAGATACAGTCCTGTTACTCAGTGACCTAACAGTCTTTTGAGAGAGATGTTGTATAGCTAGAGAAATAGTCTTAATTTTTAGTATATTTTTAAAATGAGTAAGAAAAATCTTGTGAGATGAAAAGTTATGTCAATCACTTGTAGGTTGGGGAGGGGTGGGAGGAAGAATCAGGGAAATCTTCATGGAAATTAGCACTTGAATTCAGCCTCGATGGCTTGAGGACTTGGCAACTGTGCTTAGTATGCTCTGAGTTTGAAAAAAAAAAAAGATGTATCTTGGTAACATGCTAGTTACATAAACTGTATATGGAAGTAAGTAGAGTCACTGGGCAGCTGGGTGCATAACCTGGAGAAGTAGAGGTGAAAAGAAGCCAGTGAGGTTTCTTCATTGACTTCAGAATATTTTGTAAAGGAGGACTTGGCAACTCTGCTTAGTATGCTCTGAGTTTGAGGGGAAAAAAAAGAAAGAAAGAAAATGAGACATATCTTGGCAACATGCTAGTTAGTAAACTGTATATGGAAGCAAGTATACTCACTGGGCAACTGGATAAAGTGCCAGGCCTGGAGTCAGGAAGACTTATCTTCCAGAGTTTGAATGTGGCCTCAGATACTAACTAACTGCGTAACCCTAGGCAAATCACTTAACCCTCTTTGCCCCAGTTCCTCATCTGTAAAATGAGCTGGAGGAGGAAATGGCAAACCATTCTAGTATCTTTGCCGTGAAAACCCCAAATGGGGTCACAAAGAGTCTGGTGCCACTGAAAATGCCTGAACAACAACAGACTTGACTACAGCTACTGAAAAACCAGAAAAATCTTTGGCACTATAAAATGGTTCAGTATCAGAAATAAATATGGTTAATACAGATGCTGGGTAGTATAGTCTATATAGAGTGTCTGGCCTGTAGTCAGAAAGACCTGAGTTTAAATCCAGCCTCAGATATTTAAAAGGCAAAGTTACTTAACCACTGTTTGCCTTTGGTTTCCTCATCTATAAAATGGGGATCATAATAGCACCTACCTCCCAAAGTTACTGTGAGGATCAAATGAGATAATAATTGTACTTAGCATGGTGTCTTGAACATAGTCTTAGTTGTTACTATTATAAATGCATTGCCATATGCTTTGTACCCTGAAAACCACTGATCTTTTCCATTTGATTTGTAGTTGAAATCTACTGTTGTCCCCATAGAATGTAGGCTCCTTGAGAGCAGAGACTTGTCTTGCTTTTCTGTTGTGTCTCCTGGTCCTTAATATAGTACTTGGCACATGGTAAGGACTTAAATGATTTTTCATTCATTCAGCCATAGTACTAGACATGACAGTTATACACATTTGCTTTCATGTAACCATTGACTGCTTAGACTTTGTAGCTCTGTAACAATTTGCTATTTATTTCCTTCTAGCAAAAGAAGTGAATCTATCTGAAAGCTACTGGGAGGAGATGATTTAATAGAACAGGTGGAATAGGGGATTAGAGAACTAAATATCTGCTGTCCCCAGCCTTTGAAAGATGCATCCGGGAGGTGTGATAAAGAGAAGTTATGTATCTGAAGAATAGGGGCACTAGAAACAAGTATGCTAATGATAGCTAGGAAAATTTAGTTACAGGGAATTTTCTGTGTCTGAACTATACAGTGGTTATGAGTTGTTTCTTTTGAAAAAAGATCCTTCCCTTCCCCTCCCCCTTTATGATTTTGGATGAAATGTATGCCAGATCCCATTACAATGCATCATCACTTTATTCTGAAATTATATAGCTGGAAATGAGTACCTTTCGTTAGGACTTTGGAATACTTTTGTTTGTTCTAGCATTTCTATTGTAATGCTCTTTGCAATAAGATTTGGTCTATAGCATTTTTATTATACTGTAATAAATTCCAAAAATTTTTCTAAAAATGTATAAATGTTTTTTATTCTAGGGCGTGTGTTTCTTTTGGTCCTAAGAATCGTTCAATTGGAGCTGCAGCTAAAAGCCAGGTAGAAGTTTTTCCTTTCACTCCTTCCCCTAGACAACTATAACCCATTTAAGGATTCTCTATTATTTCCTTCCAAGTTAACAATGAAGAATAACCCTCCTGGTAGAGGTAATAAAGACCATATAACTCATAATAGAGCCTCTCAGGTGTCCAATATTGTGTGAAGTTAATTCTACATTCAGAAGACTTTTTAAAAGCATAATCTTTGCAATTCATAGCTGTATTTTGTTCATGTTCATTAAAAGTTAAAGGAAGAATTGAAAAAAATTATTAGGGAATGATAAGTATGTTGGGGAAAGAAAGCTAGACTAGAATTTTGCAAGACTAATTCTGCAACTCCCTTTGTCACCCTATGGGATTAATTTTCTTTACCTATAAAATGAAAGGTTTCTAGGGTCATTTTCAGTAGAGCCCTCTATAAGAAGGAAAGACTTTTTTTTTTACTGGTCACAATTTAATAAAATTGTATTAAATAAAAATCTATTAAAATAAAGTGCAGTGAGACTAACGATTCTAAAGAACTGTTGCAACAATAAATAAATGGTAGAAACAACAGAAAATTTCATCAAAGGAAATTACAATAATGAAACACCACATAAAACTTAGGGGTTTCAGCCAAAACAGATCTGAGGGGAAATTTTATTTTATTTTATTTTTTCACTTAATAATATTTTATTTTTTCCAATTATATGTAAAGATAGTTTTCAACATTCACTTTTATAAGATTTCTGAATTCCAAATTTTCTCTCTTCTTCCCCACAACCCCCTTGAAGGAAAGACATTTAAAATTGAGGTCATACAGTTTTGTTTCTTTGATATTTAGCAGTAGCTAGTCTATATTGTTTAATTCTAGGTTCATTTCTTTTAGGTTATTTCAAATGCAAAGAATACAGTCCAAGGTTTTAAGAGATTTCATGGCAGAGCATTCTCAGATCCATTTGTTCAAGAGGAGAAGTCTCACCTTGCATACGAAGTTGTGCAATTACCAACAGGTTCAGCTGGTATCAAGGTAAACTTAAGACAAAATTTTATGATAAAATTATGGATCCAGCATAGCATATATTGATACAAAGTTTATTTTATTTGTTCATAAGGAACAGTCGTGTGTGTGTGTGTGTGTGTGTGTGTTTGTATGTATTTTTTCGTAATCCTAGAATTAAAGCTAGTATGGGAAAGGTATTCTGTAGGACTCATTTTTTTTTGTCTAAAGCAAATTGAATCAATTTTTAAATTTGGTGTGGGATAGAGGATGACAATATTGAGTAACTCCTAGTATAAGTGGAAATTAAACTGAGCTATTTGACTTCCCACTGTATCCCCTCAACCTATGTAGCTACCTGCTTGGTAGCTAGCCAGTATTCAGAGAATCATTGACATAGTATTGTGTTCATCTAATATGTGGTCAGACGTGTATGAGTTGTTTGGGGATGCAAAAGAAATAGAAGATAACCTCTTTGTGAGGAAGAATTCCTGGAAGATGAATACTCAATTTGAATATTTAGATTTGATAGGGAACAGCTGATGGGATAATGGCAGTATTAGTAAATAATTAGTAAGTAACAGTAATAGTAAGAATTTTTTTTTTTTTGAGGAATGAGACTGTGTCAGATACACATGAAGACCATGTGTTACTTTTTAATCACCCTTATTTCACCTCATAGTAAGAATTTTCTTGGCAACTTTGTTCTGTGTGTCATGAAGTAAGTAGACCCTAGAGTCAGGTAAATCAGTAAACTATTGTAGAAATAGTGAAGGGTCTCTAGACTAAGACTAAGACTCTAGATTTCCTTTTCTGGGGAAAGGAAGGTGAAAGTGGCAAATGCGTTTTGAAGGGAGAATGATGACTTTGATTACTTGGCTTAGTGACTAGATGGGATAAGTAAGAGGAGTATTGGCCAGTAATACCACTTGCTGACCATGTAATTGTTCATTGGAAAGAGGAACTAACTTTTTAAAATTAATTTATTTTTAGTTTTCAGCAATCACTTCCATAAGCTTTTGAGTTTTAAATTTTCTCCTACTCCATCCTTGCCTCCCTTCCCAAGACAATCTGATGCAATCTGATATAGGCTGTACATTTACATTCCTGTTAAATTCACGTTAGTCATGTTGTAAAGAAGAATTAGAATAGAAGAAACCACAAGAAAGAAGAAACAAAACAAAACAGAAGAAAAAAAATAGAGCAGATAGTATGCTTTGATCTGCATTCCAACTCCATAGTTATTTCTCTGGATGTGGATAGCATTTTCCATCATGAGACTTTTGGAGATGTCTTAGATCCTTGCATTGCCAAGAAGAGCTAAGTAGCTAAGTCTATCACAGTTAGTCTCACACAATATTGCTTTTACTGGGTACAAGGTTCTCCCCGTTCTGCTCACTTCACTCAGCATCAGTTCTTACAAGTCTTCACAGGTTTTTCTGAAGTCCCCTTGCTCATCATTTCTTATAGCACAATCATTCCATTACATTCATATACCACAAACTGTTCAGACATTCCCCAATTGATGGGCATCCCCTTAATTTCCAATTCTTTGCCACCACAGAAAGAACTGCTATGAAGATTTTTGTACATGTGGGTCCTTTTCCCATTTTTATGATCTCTTTGGGATACAGCCCTAGAAGTGTTATTGCTGGGTCAAATGGTATGTCCATTTTTGTAGCTCTTCGGGCATAATTCCAAATTTCTCTCCAAAATGATTGGATCAGAGAAACTAACTTTTAATGGAAGAATTTAATTTTAGGCATTTTGGTTTTAGTTTTGGACATTCCATTTATTGTCTAGGTAGCTAGAGAAGCTTGTGTATATGAATGACCTATGTAGAGGTGATGGTGGAAGCCATGGATGAGCCTTTGCAGAGTGATGAGTGTTGAAAGAGAAGGTTATAACATTTATAGTTAAAAGGTAGAAATCAATCAGTAAGCATTTAAATGTCTACTAAGTGTTAGGGACTGTTGTTAGAAGTGAGCAGGAATACAGTGATAAAAATGAAGCTGAATAAACAGTAAATGGATCACTTGAAAGAAAAATTTCACAGAATATCCGAGTTAAAAAGGATCTAAGAAGCCATTTGGTCTGACTGATACTGGAATCTGTTTTATAATATTTCCAGCAAATACTCAGCAAGCTTTTGCTTGAAGACCTAATAAAGGGGAACCCCCTCACTCCCAAGTTAGCCTTTTCCATTTTTGAATAGCTCTGTGTGTTAGGAAATTTTCGTTATCTTCAACCCACATTTGCCTTTTGAAAAGCTGTTAACTGTGGATGGATCCTGTTAAGTTACACACAAGAAAATTAGTAAAAATAGCGTACATTCCTGGTAGTCCAATAATCCTGAAATAGTTCCACTGGTGGGTTAAACAAATGTATTGCTCTCCATTTATGGAATGCTGTGATAAAAGCCACCTATACTTCTGACTTCAGGACATTCAGGTTGTAGCTTCCCAAACTTTGTTGAGCCTCCCCTAGCAGTACTATATGAGCAGTATCGTATTTCAAAAAAGACGTTTTCCAGTGAATATACTACCTCTACTGATAGAGGTTATAAATTTTTTATACCTTAGTATAAACCGTTCATGATTTTCTGTATCCATTACACTTACCACTGGTTGGCCAATCTTGTGGCAATGAGCCTTTCTAAATTTATCTAAGGTAGTAATAATAGAAGGATATGATTGGGTTTGTACTTGAAGCCTTTCCACTTTTGTAGAACCTGCTTCACTGTCGTGGCCTTCTTGAACCCTGGCTGACTTCCATAAAGCATTGGAATAAGTTTTTTTTAAGAAATTCTTGATCCCCCCCCCCTTAATTATTAGAGATACCTTGGGAGTGTTGGAAAAGCAGAATTACAATTAATTAATTTCTATTTTAAAACTTGGAAGTAGTAGGTAATAATCCCACAGTCTTTCCTAAAATTTCCATTTTCTTAGTGATCACAAGTCTTAGTGCCCTGCATGTAGGGGTTAACAGGAGATGAGCAAGGTACAAATCAGAAAATATTTATTTCCAAGGTTTTTCCTAAGCAAAATTATTTCTTTCCCATTTTACTTGTTTACTGACAATGTTAAAATCACCAGTCTAGTACAATTGTTCATAGGTGCTAAAACACACAAAATTTATTGAGTAGACTTGATTTACATATGAGAGGATAAATTTGGTTTAAATAATTTTTAGTTATTTTAACTAGTCAGTATAACTGTCTTTCATATTTTTGACTTCTGAATTTTTTCCTGTAGGTAACATATATGGAGGAAGAGCGGAATTTCACCATTGAGCAGGTCACAGGAATGCTCTTGTCCAAATTAAAGGAAACTGCAGAAAATGCCCTGAAGAAACCTGTTGTTGACTGTGTAGTTTCAGTAAGTTAACAGGGACTCATTGTGAAGAAGCATTTGTTTGAAAGCTGGTGCTTACAAGTGAAATTAAATCATAGACCCCCCTCATTTTACTGATAGGGAAAACCAAGGTTTAGAGAGTTGAAGTGATTTGCCTAATAGCTGATTAATGACAGAACTGGAATTAGAACCCAGCACTTTATTCCTAATACCACACTACCTCTAATTTTTGTTTTATATTAGAATACCAGTTTTTAGTGTTTCCTTGTATAGCTGTTATTCATGTTCCTTAGCCATTATTTTAAGATGGACTTCTAATGAAAATTTTTGTGGTAGAGAATTTTTATTTTGTAACAGATCTTGATCAGTTCCTAGATACAAAATACCTCCTTCGTGGTTAGAGATTGAGATGTTCTCGATAAGTGAATTTATCAGGTAACTGACTTTCAAAATGTTAAGGACCATCACAATACATTCCTTCCCACTGTAACTTTTGCTGAAAATCTGTGTGAGATGTAGCATGTGCTTCCCTGATTTCATAAACTATAATAAGGAATGTAATCTGACTTTTTTTTGGATCATTCAGGTTAGTTATCAATTCTTATGACCTTTCACCCTTTCCTTGAAGGTTTCAGAGCATTCCTGTGCTTTTCTCTCTCACTTGAGCAGATGATTCCAGAAGCTATGTAAATCTGTTAACATTAAATTCTCTTAGTTTCCAATTTCATGTCATCTGTCTGCTAGACTTTTAAAACTTGATGTTTTATGAGTACCTCAAACACCGTTATTTCTCTCTTTTTCAGGTGACAAGTATTTATTTTCTCCCCCTCATCTTCTTGCACTGGAAAGAAAAAAAGAAAAAGAGATTTCTTGTAACAATTGTGCATGACCAAACAAAGACAAATTCTCACATTGACCATAGCAAAAAAATCTGTGTTTTATTCTGTACCTTGAGTCCACTACCTTTCTGTCAGGAAGTGTAGGTAGCATGGTTCATGGTTGGTCACTGCATTGTGTAGACTTGTTAAGTCTTTCCAAATTGTTTGCCTTTACAGTTTTGGTGTTATTATATAATTTGTTTTCTTGACTGTTTATTTCAGTCTACTTTAGTTCGTATAAGTTTTCCTACATTTCTCTGAAACCATCCTTTATGCACGCGCGCGCACACACACACACACACTCTCCTCTCCTTTTATTTATTTGTTGCATTCTTTTCTTTTGAAATTTTGAGTTCTAGATTCTCTCCCTCCAACCCCTCTCTCACACACTGAGAAGGCAGGCAATGTAATATCAATTATACATGTGAAATCATGCTGAACATTTTTCTATATTAGCTATATTGTAAAATAAAGCAAAAAAAAATAAAGTGAGAAAATTATACTTCATTTTGCCCTCAGTGTTCATCAGTTCTATCTCTGGAGTTAGCTTTTTTTTTTTATCATGAATCCTTTGGAATTGTCTTGAATCACTGTATTGGTCAGAGTAGCCAAGTCCTTCACAGTTGATTATCATTACAATATTGCTATTGCTGTGCCCAGTGATCTCTTGATTCTTCTCACTTCACATCAGTTCATACAGGTCTTGCCATGTTTTTTTCTGAAACACCACCTCCCTCATCATTTCTTATAGCTCCATAGTACTTAGTACTCCATCACAAATCATATGGTACAACTTGTTCAGCCATTCCCTGATTGATGAGCATCTCCTCCATTTCTTTGCCATCAAAAGAAGAACTACAATAAATATTTTTGTATATATAGATCATTTTTCTTTGATCTCTTTGGGGTACAAACCTAGTGGTGATATTGCTGGATCAAAGGGTATGTGCAATTTTATAGTCCTTTGGGCATAGTTTTAGATTATTTTCCAGAATGGATGGACCAGTTTACTCCTCTATCAACAGATGTACCTATTTTTCCTTCATCCCCTCTAGCATTTGTCATTTCATTTTCATCCATCCTGTTTTCTTCTGTTTATCCTTTTCTCTCTTTTTTTAATCTTGTGCCTCCTCAAAAGTTTGTTTTGTTTCTGGACGCTGCCTTCCTTGATCCACCTTCTCTTTTATCATCTCTCTCCTCCAACCTATTTCTTATCTAGTCCCCCTCCTGTTTCCCTATTGGGTAAGATACTGTACCCAACTGAATGTGTACATACAACCTTCCTTCTTTGAACCAATGTTGATGAAAGTAAGGTTCAATCATTGCCTGCTATACCTCCTGCCCCATTTTCCCCCGACACATAAAAACTTTCTCATGTATCTCTTTTATGTGAGGAAAATTTCCCCATTCTACCTCTCTTCCTCTTTCTCTTTTTCACCCTTGCTTTTTGGGGTGAGGGGGCAGGGGAAGTGCAGAGATCATACCAACATAATCTATTTGTACCTGTGCCCTCTGTCTATATAGACTTTTTTAACTGCCCCAATAATGATAAAGTTCATAAGTTACGTGTATCATATTCCCACATAGGAATGTAAACAATTTAGTGAGTTTCTTATAATAATTCTTTCATGTTTACCTTTTTATGATTCTCTTGATCTTGTATTTGAATATCAGATTTTCTGTTTAGCTCTGGTCTTTTCATCAGGAATGCTTGGAAGCCCCCTATTTCAACAAATAAATAAATAAACGAACATACGTATGTATTCTCTCCCCCTCACCGAAGGATTATGCTCAGTTTTGCTGGATAGGTTATTTTTGCTTGTAATCCTAGCTTTTTTGTTTTCCAGAATATCATATTCCAAGCCTTCCACTCCTTTAATGTGGAAATGTGATCCTGACTGTGGCTTCACAATATTTGAATTGTTTATTTCTGTTTGCTTGCTGTGTTTTCTCCTTGACTTGGAGCTCTGGAATTGGAAATTATTATTGCTGGGAGTTTTCATTTTGGGATGTTTGTCAAGAGGGGATCGGTAGATTCTTTTTTTTTTTTTAAGCTTTCTAAAGGCATCCAAAGTGACTTTGTTTTTTTTTTTAAGATTTTGGAGGCAGTGGAGGTTGAGTGACTTGCCTAGGGGTCACCCAGCTAGCTAGTAAGTGTCGGAGGCCAGATTTGAACTCAGGTCCTCTTGACTCCAGGGCCAGTGTTCTATCCACTGTGCCACCTAGCTACCCCCTAGATTCTTTCAGTTACTGTTTTACCCTCTCTAGAATATCAGGGCAGTTTTCCTTGATAATTTCTTAAAAGATAATGTTTAGACTTGATTATTTTGATTATGTCTTTCAAGTCTCAATAACTCCTAAATTATCTCTCCTCTATCTGTTTTCTAGGTCAGTTGTTTTTCCATTGAGAAAATTCACATTTACTTCTTTTTTTCCCCCCCATTCTTCTGACTTTGTTTCTTAGCTTCCACTTGCCAAATTCTAATTTTTTTCTTTTTTGGCTTTTTGGTGAGGCAATCAGGGTTAAGTGACTTGCCTAGAATCACACAACTAGAAAGTGTCATGTATCTGAGCCTGGATTTGAACTCAGATCCTCCTGACTCCAAGACTGGAACTCTATTCACTGTGCCATCTAGCTGCCCCTCAAATTCAAATTTTAAGGAATTATTTTCTTCAGTGAGCTTTTGTACCCCTTTTTCCATTTGACCAATTCTACTTTTTAAGCAATTCTTTTCTTCAGGGAATTTTTGTGCCTCTTTTACCATTAGGCCAGTTCCATTTTTAATGTGCCATTTTCTTAAGCATTTTTTGTGCCTTTTTAAAAAATTTTTTTAACTTTTTAATTTTAATTTTAATTTAATTTTAATTTTTTTTGGCGAGGTAGTGGGGTTAAGTGACTTGCCCAGGGTCACACAGCTAGTGTCAAGTGTTTGGTCTGAGGTCGGATTTGAACTCAGGTACTCCTGACTTCAGGGCCGTTGCTCTATCCACTGCGCCACCTAGCTGCCCCCTGTATCTTTTTTTTTTAAACCAAGCTGTTACTTAGTTCTCCTTTCATAATTTCCTTTCATCACTTATGTCTTTTCCCAATTTTTCCTCTACTAGGCTTATCTCTTTCTTTAACTCTTACAGGAATCTTTGGTGGCCTCGTTTTCAGTTAGCATTTTTCTTTGAGGTTTTGCTTGTAGCTGTTTTCTCATTGTTATTTTCTAAGTTTATGTCTTGGTCTTATCTTCCCTGCTACCTGTCAAGTTCTTTTTTGTTGTTTGCTCATTTTCCCAGCCTCTTTCTTCACTATGAACTTCATGTTAAATTTGGGCTCTGCTCACCTGGGAGGCACTGTGCTAAGCTTCAGGCTTTTTTGTGCTGTTTTCAGACGACCACTTCTATGGAATAAACTGCATGGATTGTATGAGAAGTCATTTGGCTGTTAGAGTTATAAGGCATCTGATTATATCCATGATGTAGTATTGTAGTTTGAGCCCAGTAACAATAATAGCCAGGATTTATATAGTGCTCTAAGGTTTACAAAGCACTGTAATTAATCTTATTTAAGCAAGTGCAAGGATTTTTCTTATTGTTATAATTTAATATTTTTTATAGGTCCCCTGCTTCTATACAGATGCGGAGAGAAGATCAGTGCTGGATGCAACACAGATTGCGGGTCTTAATTGTCTGCGATTGATGAATGAAACTACTGCAGGTAAAAGGGAATGCATGAATTGACTATCTAATGTAAATAAAGTCATCAGATGATGAAACTACTGTTTTGTTCTGTTCCCTACATTTGGAATGCTTTCCTTTCTTCTATCTTATCTCCTCCAGATTCTTGGTTTCATCTTTTTCTGGAGACATATTCTGAATATTCCAGCCATTTTTTTGAACTTTTTTTTTTTCAATACAACTTTTATTTTTATTTTTTTACTTATTTTACTTATTTACTTTTTTTCTTTAATTTGTATTTAGTTTTCAACATTCACTTCCATAAGCTTTTGAATTTTAAATTTTCTCCCCCTCCCTCCCCAAGAGGGCTTGCAATCAGATATAGGCTCTACATATACATTCCTATTAAACATATTCTCACATTAGTCATGTTGTAAACAAGAATTAGAACCAATAGGAGGAACCAAAACAAAACAGAAGGAAAAAAAAGAGCAAATAATATGCTTTGATCTGCATTCAAACTCCATAGTTCTTTATCTGGATGTGGATAGCATTTTCCATCATGGGACTTTTGGTAATGTCTAAGATCATTGCATTGCTGAAAAGAGCCAGGTCTTAGTCATCACACAGTGTGTCTGTTACTGGGACACTTAAATTTTTACCATTCACTCTGGCACCTTATGCCTTTGCATATTAATGGACATTTATCTTATCTCTCTAGTTAGTTGTAAGCTCCTTGAGGTGAGGAATTATTTTTGCACTAGCTTTAATCTTCCAACACAAAGCACAGGGATAGTACTGTTAAATATAGTAAAAAATGCCTATGATTTGAATGGTGATAAGGATGATCTATTTGTGTGTTTGTAGTATTAAAGCTGTCATTGTTCACATTTTCAAGGCATCCTGCTAAATTACAAATTTCTGAACTAGAGCCATAGTAAAAATCGTTAATTGGAGTGTTCTACTTAATTGGGTAAGAATGCTGTGCAGATATTGCTGGCATTGGTTTGTATTATTAATGTCTGCATTCCTGTCTTACAAAATAGACCACATTGAGCATAATTTAACCTCTAAGGATTGTATAATGCCTAGGGTTTGCCAAATTGGGTCATATTTTATCACAAAAGGCAAATTGATTCTTAGCTTTGCTTTTGTTTGGATTTTGGCAGTAGTGTCTGATGTTATACAGTTCTGTAGGTGTTGAAGGTATAGGAGGTGCGCTGGATGTGTTATAACATTTAAGTTGTTCTTTTAATTGAATCAGTGATATGAGCCTGTTTTTTCTTGTTGCTGCTTTTTCTTTAGTCACATTCTTTCTCTTTTGCTTCTACCCTCACTCACTAGTTATTTAGTTACATAGTGGTTTACTGTACAAACTGATTTAATTTTATTTGGAAGGCTTCAAGCTTTTTGGCATTCTAGCTAATTCATAAAGGGCTGTATCAGGTTACCCCTAACAAAACAGATCAGGACATATTTCATCTGGGGTTTTGGTGAGACTATAGGGAATGATATATGGTTAATAAACAATAAAAGCAAGTTAAGATATGAAATATTCTGATTGGTAATTGTTGAATAGTACATCTAACCATTGTTTTGTCTTAAACTTGTAAGCAGTAAGTAATAAGTTACATTTATATAGTACTTTAAGATTTGCAAAGTAGCTCTCTTTTGTATGGTATAGATAGTGTGAGCAGTAATATTTCCATTTTATTCATAAGTAAATTGAGTCTCTATGAGGTTATAACTTGCCCTTGGTTACATAGTTACTAAATGCCTTGCAGTGGGATACAGAGTGGTCCCATAACTTTAAGTCCAATTCTGTTAATGATGTCAGGCTGATTCACTTGTGGCATTAGCAGATAGAGCTGGCTTTGGAATCTAGAAGACCGGGGCTCAAGTCTGTCTCTGTTACATACTGTGTGATTCTGGGATGGTCATTCAACTTTGCAGTGCCCTAGGCGACATTCCAAGACTAAGGTTTTAGAATAGTTGACTCCCTTGGATTGGTAGAAGGGTCCTCAGCAAGAACTCCTTACATTAGTGAAATCATGAGTCTAAATGCAAAAAAAAAAAAAAAAAAAAATGGAGTCTTAGTGCTTTGGTGTGAGTGCCTTGACTTAAAAAATGGTATTCTTGAAACCTTGTTATTTGTAAACATATTGAAATCCTAATTACAGCTAAAAATCCTTTTTTTAAAATTTGTAGTAACTTTATTGTTTTGATTTTAGAAAAATTAATTGAAAAATCTTATAGTATACGATCACAAGTCAGTGAAAATCATTGGTTCGGTAATTGTTTCTCTTCTAATTGTGTAGGCTCTCTGTTGTGTAGAGGAGCTGGGTAGGGAGAAACTCAGGAGAGCTTGACAGGTAGTTGGGGTAGAGAGGAGGAGGGTAAAAGGAATAGGGGCAGCTGAGGGTCAGGATTCCCAGGTGAAGGCATTGGAGGAGATAGGAGGGGGAGAACATTAATAAGGGCATCACAAAGCAAAAATGACAGTTTGATAGTGAAACTGTATGAAGAAAGGGCTCTGATTTTGGATGCTTCAAGAAGCAGAAGTCATGTACACCTGCACAAATTTTAAGAAACTTTGCTTTTAAGAATAATTGTGGGTGGCAGCGCAGTGGTTAGAGCACCAGCCCTGAAGTCAGGACTACCTGAGTTCAAATCTGGCCTCAGAACAAACACTTGACACTTTCTAGCTGTGTGACCCTGGGCAAGTCACTTAACACCAACTGCCTAAAAAAAAAGAATAATTGTGGTAATTCACATTTTCCGGCCACAGAAATTTGTTTAGTAAATTATAGAGGGAATGTCAGCAAAATAAACAAAGCCTCAAAGCAGTTACGTTTATGTATAATGTTCTGAGGTTTACAAGGCACTTTCCTCAAGATAACTCTGTTCATTAATACTTTTAGTACAAGCATCTGCATCTTACACATGAGGCAACTGAAACTGAAAGGATATAAGTATTGTATTTTTCCTTTATATCTCATACTGTTCCATTTAAATGAAATTTGAATATAGGAAATCCATTTTAATGCCTTTAATTTTACTATTGTGCAATATTGCCTGTTATTGAATGATAGTATATTATAATAAACTTAGAACATTTTCTCTTCTCTCCAGTTGCCCTTGCATATGGAATCTATAAACAAGATCTGCCTGCTCTGGAAGAGAAACCAAGAAATGTTGTGTTTGTTGACATGGGACATTCTGCCTACCAGGTGTCTGTGTGTGCATTCAACAAAGGAAAACTCAAAGTAAATATGCATTTTCTATCGAGTAATGTGATTATGGTATTTGGGTTGGGGAGGGAGTGGATTTTGAAATGGTCTAGTAGTGCTTAAACTAGTACCCACTAATTAAAATTGGCTTTAGGGATTTTATGACTTGTGTGCTAAAGTAGCATAGTATCATCATAGAGCATTGTTCTATATAGTCTTCTAATAAGTCTTTTAAAATTTAAGATAGGTACTAAAGGCATATTGGCATAGTAGATAGAGCATTGGATTTGGAGTCAGGAATGTCTTGAGTTCTAATTCTGCCTCGGGTGTTGATTGACCCTGTGGCTTTGGACAAATTCTTAGAGGGAGCTGGCAGTACAGTGGGTTGTCTCAGGATCAAATGAGATAATACATGTAAAAGCTCTTAGCACAGTGCTTGGCACAAAGGAGGTACAATATAAATGCTTATTCCTTTCCTGTTATTCCCACTTCTTTGAGCCTTAGTTTTATCCTTTGCAAAATGGGGATAGTAATAACACCTTAAGGGTTATTGAGATAAACCAAATACCAAATGAGATAATATACATTAAGTCCTTTCAAAACCTTAATGTATTCTGTAAATATTAGCTGTTATGCCTTATCTTCATCTTCTTTTAGTCCAAAGGCTCTCTAGTCTGTTGGAGTAGTCCCTACTCCAACAGATATGCTAATGTCTTCCCCATGATAATGGCTACTACTCTGTAACTTAAAATTCCTTGCGATCATCCCCCATTCTGTCTTCCTTTCTTCCATTTTCTTTCTCTCTGAGGCCAACCCCCTCTCCTTTTTTTTTCCCCAGCCAAAAACAAGATTTATTAAAGATCAGCCATATTGGCCAGACTCTTAAGGAATCTAAGCATTTGTATCGCTAATTCAAGTGGGCCAGATCTTAAGAATCTGAGCGCCTTAATGGAGACAAGATGAATCTTATATATAGAAAGACTGGGAGGGATCCAGGAGTGGCCAAGTAGTCTGGAGGAGGGATCTAAGGATCTGGATGGGAGTGGCTAGTAAGGTGGGGTGAACAGAATGTGAGGCCAACCTCCTTAAATGCACCTTTTCATTCCCTACTGTCTCCTCTGGTAGGTAGCCCTTGTAATCATCTCTCTCCTTTCTCATCTTGAATCTCTCCCTTTATTCTTCTTCTCTTCAATTTCTCTCCTCTCTTTTCCTCAGTCTTTCTTCTGTCTTATCTTCAGTCTCTCTCCTTTGTCTTATCTGCATCTTCTCTTAGTCCATAGGCTCTTTCCCTACTCCATCAGACATGCTGATGTCTTCCCCGTTCTTAGGAGGAAAAACCAAACGAAAATCCTCACTTAACCTTACCATCACTCAACTCTTCTCTTTTATCTTTATTCCTTTTCCAGGGTCAAATTCCTGGAAAAAGTTCTCTAAATTCAATGCCTACATTTCTTCTTCGTTCTTTTACTTACTTGGCCTGTTGTAATCTGGCTTCTGACTTCCATCACTCAAATCAAACTGTTCTTTCCATAGTTACCAATGATTCTCATCCATCCTGAATTCTGTGCTGGGTTTGACACTGATAAACACATTCTACCTGATAGACTCTCCTTAGGTTTTCATGTTACTGCTATCTCTTGATTCTCCTTCTCCCCACCTGTCCATTCCTTTTCAGTCTTCTTTGTTTGATCATCATCCACATTTCACTCAACTGTGTGTACCCCAAGATTCTGTTCTGGACATTCCTTTTCTTTATCTGCACTCACTTGGTAAACTTACCCTCTTCCATGAATTCCATTTTCACACTGAAGATAATGCTTGTATTAAACCTCGCTATACTGAGTTGCAGCTTGGAGTCAGGAAGATTCAAGTTCAAATTCAGCCTCAGACACTTGCTAGCTGTGTGACCCTGGACAAGTCACTTTTCTCTCAACCTCAGTTTCTTCATCTGTAAAATGGGACTAATAATAGCATCAGGAGTTGTCAGAATAAAATGAGATAACAGTAAAGCGTTTTGCAAAGCTTAAAGTTATTGTTACTATTTTTCTTGCTAATTTGAAGATCGGAGCCTTTTGTTTTCATTAAGTAGGAAAGGTTAGGTACCAGTATTTGTTTGCATGATTGCCTAAAATTTGTAATGATTTTCCTAAAACATGTTTGACCATGTCACTCCTCTTTCTGAATAAACTCCAGTGGCTCCCTATTGCCTTGAAGAGCAAGTAAAAAATGCTTTGTTTAGCATTCAGAGCCCTTCATCACCTAGCCCTCTCTTGCCTATCTGGTAGTTGAAACAAGATACTCCATCTCTCAGCTCCAAGCATTCTCCCTTGTCATTTCCCATGCCTTGAACACTCTCCCTTCTCCACTCTAGCTACTGAACTCCTTGATTTCCTTTTAAGTCCCAAATAAAATCCCACCTTCTACTGGAAGCCTCCCCCAACCTCTCTTAATTCCAATGCTTTCCCTCTGTTAATTATTTCCTATTTATCCCGAGTATAGCTTGCTTTGTAGATATTTGTTGGTATGTTGTCTCTGTTAGTTTGTGAGCTCCTTGTGGCTGGAACTATCTTTTGCTTCTTTTTGTGTACTCAGCACTTAGCATAGTGTGGAAGGCACTTTATGAATGTTTATTGACTGAGTGATCTACTAAAAAAAAGTTACTTAAAAAAGTAAAGCTTTCAGTACTTAGCACATTTAAGTAGCAATTTAGGTAGTAACTTAGTAGCATGGCATCTGAGTAGTAGCTTTGCTTTTTTGGTTATAAACTTATACCTGTTCCTCTCTCTGTAGTTCAAATCATAGTAAGATAGTGAAATAATAAGGAACAAAGGAGCCTGGCTTTACCTTATGAAAGGCAAAACCAAAAAAACCCATGTAACCTTTTAAAGGCAAAAGAAGAAAAAAATCTAGTTGGAGGCCCTTACGGAATATTTTGAGGGCTCAAGAGATGGTTTGTAGGTTGTTGCCAATCACTATTACTGCATTTTGCTGAGCTACTCCTCAACCCCAAAAGTAAGAGCTTTATATCTTCCCTGTCCCACAACTGATAGGTGGGACCTGGCAGAGACGGGACCTGCATGTAGGTCCTGCATATTCAGCCCCTCCTCAGTGGCAAATTATACCTCAGGTTTCTGGGTTGGTCTTCCCCAGACCATGCTTAGTGCCCACGGGGATTTCCTTCAGCTGATGGGTAGACTCTCACCTTTCTTTCACACCAAGACTACCTTGACACCATGGGGTATATGGGGTGTTCCAGGAGGACTAACACCTCTTGAGTGAGTGCTTACCAAACCCTTTTCAGGGCTGCTTGTCCACCTTTGGTTTCCACCTTCACCCAAATCTCATCTGTGACTCCAGGAAGCAGCTGCATCCTGGTAAACCATCTTGGCATACAGGCCAAACCATGTTGAGAGTAACTGACAGGCCACAAACCTGTCAGTAACTTAGGGGGATATCTATCCCCAAGCATGCAAAGACCCCCATGCCCCTGCCATGAAAACAGCTGAAGCAGGTTCTGTGGATCTCTTAGAGCTTGGCCAGACATTGAAGACGCCAAGGTCATCCACTGCATCCCTGGCCATTGCCTGTCTTGTTGCTGGACTTTGATGACAAGTCAAGACATTACCCTGTGATGTCATTGGTCCTCTTTGAAAACAACAACCTTGACTGCTCATCTCATATTGCTTTCTTCACAATGTACTAGAATAGAGCTTCCAAATAGTAAAATATGGATGTTTGGTAAAAATATAGAAAACAAAAACTGAAGAAAGACTTCCTTCATTAGGCACATGTAGCTTAGCATAATGAAAAATAAATTTGATCTGTACCACATTAAAATTCTAATTGGATTATAGACTTTAAACATAAAGGCCTATTTTTTTAAAAGATGGAAGAAGTAGAATGTTATATTCTAATTGTTGAGGAGAGCATAGGGTTAAAAATATAAATAGAAGTTAGTAAGGATTAGGTTGAAATGCTGATATTTATTAAAATATTAAAAATTCCTGCACAGTAAACTGTACAATCAAGATTAAAAAAAATTGGGGAAGACATTGTAAGATAGTAGATAAAAAACTAATTTTTTAAACTTAAAAGGAATTGAATGAAATATTGAAGGATAGAATCCAATCTCCAGTGGATAAATGGTCAAACGAGAGGAACATTTTGTCAAAGAAGAAGTTAACTATAAATTGGCCCTTGCGAAAAAGATTTGAACTCCAACAAATTAAAACAACTTTGTGGTACCACTTTGTACCCATCAAAATGGCTAAACTAATTTAAATGCCGTAACTCAGTGCTTTGTGGGCCTGTGGAAAAATAAGTAAAGCCATATACTACTGTGGTTATTTTCAAAATGGTGCAATCTTTAGGGAGAAAAAAATCTGATAGAAAACCGTGTAAGTTATTTTAGAAACAAACTTGCCCCAGTAATCTTATTATTGAGGGCATTTACTTGGAGAATATTATAAAAGAAAAAAGGTATATAGTAAAACACTTATAGCAACATTGTTATTGCAAAAACCTGGAAACTGAAGTGTCCTATAGTTGGGAAAAGGATGACTAAAGTCATAGTGTGTTGACATAATGGGAATAGTGTAATTTAATTATACTATTCCAGAACTGGCAGATTTTGCTGAGCCACTTTTATCTTAAATATCTCAGGCTAAAAAAGGTCAAGCATTCTGATTTTTAGAAAAGGGAGGAGTGTAGAACCTGCAAATTATAGTGAGTTTGACTTCACTTCTGGTCAAAATTCTAAAATGTTCTATTAAAAAAACGATTGACAATTAGAAAAGGAAGTGATGATCAGAAAGCAAGCTTGGCGTCGGCAAGAACAAGTCATGGTACTCTAACTTGATTTCTTTTTTTTTAAAAACAAGATTGCAAAACTGGCCTATCATGGGAATGCTATGTAGATACGATTTGCCTAGTTTTTTGGTGTAGTACTTATTTTTCGTAATATCTTGTGGGAAAGATGGATTGATGTGGGCTAGGCAATTGTATTGTTAAGTGGATTTTGAACTGGTTAAATGGTCAGATCCAAAGATTATTTTGTAATTGGTTCAATGTCAGCTTTGAAAGAGGCTCTCCAGAGATCTCTAGTTGGCTCTATACTGCTTATCATCTTTGTCAGTGTCTTGGATAGGCCATCCATCTCAGATATTTGAAAATAGGAGGGATAGCTAATGTGACATATCCCTGAAAATCTGGTCAGGCTGCAACAGTGATTTCAGTCTGATAAGATGAACTTCAAAGGCTCAAAAATTTAACTTCATAAGTATAAGATGAGGGGAGGCATGGTTAGACAGTAGTTTGTCTGAAAAAGATCTACCAGCTTCCTTGGGACAAAAGTCAGGATCATTGTAAGACCACTGTAATGTGGCAACTAAAAACTCCCCAAACTTAATGCAAGCTTAGGCTATGTTCAGGGAGGCATAGATTTCAGGAATAAGAGTTAGGTGATGGTTATGCTGTCGCTGCAGTTCTAGCTGCTGCCTTTTGGGAGTGTTGTTGATACACTGGAGAGCCATAAAGAGATGAGAAGCCAGGGCAGTGGAGGGACTTGATTCCTTGTCATGAGACCAGTTTAAGGAACTAAGGATGTTCAACCTGGAAAAGAGAAGATTTTTGGGGTTGGGATGGGGAATTGGGGCTGATAACAGTGTTTGAGTTTTGGAAGGGTGGTCATGTTGGAGAAGGATTATATAGTTCTTTATGTTCAGGGAGCATTGGGGTAGAGATTGCAAAAGTTAAATTTAAGCTTGATTCAAACAAAAACAGCCTTTCCATAGTGCATTGTAGGAGAACAGTGTGGTTAAGTGAAAAAGATAGCTGGATTTAGGGGACCTGTATTCAAATGTTACATCTCAATCTTACTACCTTTCTGACCTTAGGAAGAAAGTTACTTTATCTCTGTAAAATGAGAGTCCTTCTACCTTATTCTATGATTCGGTGAATGGGTGGGCTACTTCTGGAGGTGATAGATTCCTCATGATGAAGAGTTCTTCAGGAAAAGGCTGTGTGGCACTTGTTCTGTTGTTTAGAGGGAATTGTTTTTCAAGTCTGGGTTGAACTCAGTAGACTCTTAGGTTCCTTTAAGCTCTGAAATTCTTTGATTCTGTGATAGATAAGCTTGGGGATGTAAGTGTTTATAGAAAGATCTATAAAAATGTGAAGAAAAAGGAAGCAGGAAGGTAAAAATAGCTTACATACCAACAACTTATATAAAAGGGGTGGAAATGTGTATGTGGACATATAGCAACAAATAGATAAAAAGAAAATGACACACAGTGACCAGTAAATTTTACATGTACTTAATTAGTACATTTTATATGATGAAATTAATGTACTCAAATATAAATAGTCATAAAAATACATTTACTTGGTGTAGTTTGTGTTTAAAACTCATTTCATGATGCTTTTTCAAGTATTAAACCTTTAGAGGAAGGAGCACTGAAAAGAGCAAAGGCACCCAATCATCTATATCAAGGTGTGTTTTAGCCATATGTCAATCGGTGGAGATGGGAAGTTTGGTGAAGCTGGAGGGTCTGTAAACTTCCAAGACTTAGACAGAACAGCACTGAGACTCTTAGAGCATTCCGTACTTAAAGGGCCAAGCTTCCTTTCATTTAGAAGATTGTACCTGTCATTTAAAGACATTGTGAGTTTGTTTTTTCCAGTTTTTCTTTGTTTTTACCCTCTTTGGGTACTAACTTAAGCAGAAAATCTTCCTTCTTCACGGAGTTATTGTAAAGAAAGTGCTTTGCCAACATTAAAGTACTGTGTCATTGTGAAAAATTGATGCTTATTAATAGTAACACATTTTTCAATTGATGGCTAATTGGAGTAATTTAATCACATTCTTCTTTAGGTTCTTGCCACTGCATTTGATCCAACATTGGGAGGTAGAAAATTTGATGAGATGTTAGTAAATCACTTCTGTGAAGAATTTGGGAAGAAATACAAACTAGACATCAAGTCCAAAATCCGTGCATTGTTGCGCCTTTCTCAGGAGTGTGAAAAGCTCAAGAAATTGATGAGTGCAAATGCTTCAGACCTCCCCATGAACATAGAATGTTTCATGAATGATGTTGATGTATCTGGAGTTATGAACAGGTATCTCTTAGGATTTTAAAATAAGGGCTAAATTACTTTTTTAAACTTAAGTTTTGCTGTATTATTCTGAACCACAAACCTGAAATTTGAATATCAGTGATTGTTGTTTGAAATGGTTAATAAGCTAGTTTATGTGAGGAGCAAAACTGAAACCTCCAATTAAATGTCTGACCTTTCTATTTTCATTATGGCTGAGAAATGAATTTCTAATAAAATAAGTTACTGTTCATTGACAAGTTTTGATTAATATTTGAGTTAGCTGAGCATTGCCATAAATAACCTGTGTAAACTAGAAATTTTCAGCTAATTCCAAACAGATACCTCTAATTTAAGATAGTTGCTTATTTAGTCTTTCCTTCAGAAGGTATCATTCCCTGATGGCCCTCTTATAAGCCTCTTCAAATTTGTGTGAGTTAGTTCTTGACAACAAATAGTCTGTCTGCAGGCCTTTCTACCTTGGTATATAGAGTCTGACAGAGCTCATTTTTATTTGGCATAGTTTTCAAGAACCCAGAGCCCACCCTTGGTCATTCTAATCTTTTTGACAAAGTTGAAATGCAGATTGTTTCATTCTTTGTATTTGTATTACAACTTCAGTGACTAGCAAGTAGAGTGCCCAGTACTTAGTAGGTGCTTAATAAATACTTGACTGATAAGTTTGGGAAAAGCATGATCTAACTCCTTCTTCAAAGGTGTGAAGTAGAAGTTAGGAACAATTAAAGATAGTACTTTACAGTTGTTAACTTTATTAAGGAAGGTTATTTTTTTGACTGTAGAAGGGAGAGTTTAACAGTTTTTATTGAGACTGCTAATTAGCATTTATGTGTTGGATGGTCTATTTAAAGCACACTGTCCAACTGAGTTCTGAAGTCTTAGGGTGTTAAGGGGGTAAGTAGATAATTGCTTTTTTAAATCCTGGTTTGTTAAAAGGAGAATATAACTTAACTTATTTCTTAAAATAGGAGCAAATTTCTGGAAATGTGTGATGATCTCTTAGCTAGAGTGGAGCCACCACTTCGAAGTATTTTGGAACAAGCCCGTAAGTTCTTTATTGTCGGGGAATAAGTGGTTGATATGTCTCAAAGTCAAACATTTAACTACTTCAATGGGAATTTAGATATTTTAAGTATCATTTCCTACAATTACCTGTAAAAATTCCATAATATGAACTGTTTGATTGATTTACTTAGGATGATTTTTACCCCTTCCACCTTCTTAACTTTTCCCTTTCTCATATTTAGAAAAATTCAAAGATAGAGAATCCAGATAAAGCCTTAATAACTGTAATTCAGATACTTTTAGTAAAATGTGGGCTCCCTTCTTTTAAAATTAAAATTTTATTAATATTCTGAGTTAAGAATTTTGCTTTTTATTTTTTTTTTAAATGCTAATAGTGATTGTCTCATTCCCTGTAGGAATTTTGGAGTTTCATTAGTGTTGAACATTTTGTTGGACAAACTAATTCTAAATGTCACTGACTTTCTTTTTTTTAAATTTTTAAAAATTTTTTTTCATTAATAAATTTATTTATTGTTTTGTTTTCAACATTTACTTTCGCAAGATTTTGAGTTCCAAATTTTTACCCCATCTCACCCCTCCCCCCACCCCAAGATGGCATGCATTCTGAATACCCCTTCACCTAGTCTGCCTTCCCTTCTCTTATCCACTTCCCCTTCAATTTTCCTGTAGGGCAGGGTGGATTTCTGTACCCCATTTCCTGTATTTCTTATTTCCTAGTTGCATGTGAAAACATTTCTTTTAAACATGTGTTTTTAAAACTTTGGGTTCCAAATTTTCTCCCTTCCTCCCTCCCCACCCACCCTCATTGATAAGGCAAGCAACTAAATATAGGTTATATATGTGCAGTTATGTAAAACACTTCCATAGTAGACATGCTGTGAAGAACTAACTCTATTTCCGTTAATCCTATCCCACCCCCCCCATTTATTCTATTCTTTCTTTTGACCCTGTCCCTCCTCAGAAGTATTTGCTTCTGATTACTCCCTTTCCCAATCTGCCCTTCTCTCTATCATCCCCCTACTCTCTTGTCCCCTTCCCCCCCTATTTTTCTGTAGGGTAAGACAGATTTCCATACCCAGTTGAGTGTGTATGTTATTCCCTCCTTAAGTCAAATTCTATGAGAATAAGATTCACTCATTCCCTCTCATCTTCCCCCGTTTCCCCTCCACTGTAGAAGCCTTTTCTTCTCTTTTTTTTTTGTGAGATAATTTACCCCGTTCTACCTCTCCCTTTCTCTTTCTCCTAGTATAATCCTCTCTCACTTCTTAATTTTATTCTCCAGATATGACCCCTTCATTTTCAACTCACCCTGTGCCCTCTATCTATCTATATCTATATATATGTACCTATAATTTTTCCCCTCCAACTACCCTAATACTGACAAAGGTCTTATGAGTTACAAATATCATCTTTCCATGCAGGAATGTAAACAGTTCAACCTTAATAAGTCTCTTATGATTTTCTCTTTCCTGTTTACCTCTTCATGTTCCACTTGAGTCTTGTATTTGAAAATCAAATTTTCCATTCAGCTCTGGTCTTTTCATCAAGAATGCTTGAAAGTCCTCTATTTCACTGAATGACCATTTTTTCCCTTGCAGGATTATACTCATTTTTGCTGGGTAGGTGATTCTTGGTTGTAATCCTATCTCCTTTGCCCTCCGTAATATTATATTCCATGCCCTGCGGTCTCTTAATGTAGAAGCTGCTAAATCTTGTGTTATCCTGATTGTGTTTCCACAATACTTGAATTGTTTCTTTCTGGCTGCTTGTAATATTTTCTCCTTGACCTGGGAACTCTGAAATTTGGCTACAATATTCCTAGGAGTTTTCCTTTGGGGATCTCTTTGAGGAGGAGATTGGTGGATTTTTTCAATTTCTATTTTGCCCTCTGGTTCTAAAATATCGGGACAGTTTTCCTTGATAATTTCTTGAAAGATGATGTCTAGGCTCTTTTTTTGATCATGGCTTTCGGATAGTTCAATAATTTTTAAATTCTCTCTCCTGGATCTATTTTCCAGGTCAGTTGTTTTTCCAGTGAGATATTTCACATTGTTTTCTAATTTTTCATCCTTTTGGATTTGTTTTACAGTGTCTTGATTTCTCATAAAGTCAGTAGCTTCCAATTGCTCTATTCTAATTTTTAAGGAAGTATTTTCTTCAGTAATCTTTTGGACTTCTTTTTCCATTTGTCCAGTTTTGCTCTTTAGGGCATTCTTTTCTTCATTGGCTTTTTGGACCTCTTTTGCCATTTGGGTTAGGGTATTATTTTCTTCAGTATTTTTTGGGTCTCCTTTAGCAAGCTGTTAACTTGCTTTTCATAATTTTCTTGCATCACTCTCATTTCTCTTCCCAGTTTTTCCTCTACTTCTCTTACTTGCTTCACAAAATCCCTTTTGAGCTCTTCCAAGGCCTGGGACTGATTCATATTTTTCTTGGAGGCCTTGGATGTAGGAGCTTTGGCTTTGTTGTCTTCTTCTGGTTGTATGTTTTGATCTTCTTTGTCACCAAAGTAAGATAATATAGTCTGACTCTTTTTATGGTGCTTGCTCATGATCCCAACCAATTACTTGAGTTTTAAACTCTTTGTTAAGATAAGAGTCTGTTTCCAATGTGAAGAATGTACTGTCCCAACCTTCAGGGGTTTGTACAGCTGTTTTCAGAGATACTTCTAGGGACCTGAAAAGTGTCAGTTCTTCCAAGGTGTTATGATAAGGGGTGAGGTGTTTCCTCTCCACTGCCACAACAAGCTCCACCACGTCAGCGCTCCTCCTTGCCTGCGCTCCTCCTCTGCCCAGGAGTGCCCCTCAGAACTGTGACCCAGATCCAAGCACGGGCAAAGCAAGAGATTCCTGCCTCAGCCCTGGCAAAGAGATTCTTGCAGTCCCCCTCTGATCAGCCACTTGATTCCCCCTCAGTCTGTGGGCCGGAAGCTCAGGAAACAGCTGCGGCCTGCAGTCGAGGCTTGTGGCTGAGACCTAGCTTTCCCACTGACCTTCTAAGTTGTCTTTGGCGTCTATGGGTTAAGAAGTCTGGAAACTGCATCAGCTGCCCGCGATTCAGTCCTGTGAGGCCTGCTCCAAGTAAGCTGTGGCGTGCGCGCGCATGCTGAACTGTGCTCCTCTCCCAGCCCGGCGCAGTATACCTTTCTGATCAGCCATCTAGGTTATCTTGGGCTGGAGATTTGTTTTACTCTGTTTTTTTTTTATGGGTTCTGCTGCTTGTCACTGACTTTCTTAAAAAAAAAATTTTAAGTAAAATTGTTGACATTTTGTTTTGAAATAGACTGGCTTTTCCCAACAAACTCTTTTATAAAAGTGCATTCCCTGAAAAGGTTGGATTTATCCACTTTTTTAAACAGAAAGAATATTGGTTTTGTTGGGTTTTGGTTTTTTTGTTTGTTTTGTTTTGTTTTTGCTTTTTGGTGAGGCAGTTGGGGTTAAATGACTTGCCCAGAGTCTCTCAGCTGGTAAGTGTCAAGTGTCTGAGGCCAGATTTGAACTGAGGTCTTCCTGACTCCAAGGCTGGGTCTCTATCCACTGCGCCACCTAGCTGCTCCAAGAATGTCTTTTAAGTTTGATAATGTGATACTAACTTTGACCATTATGCCAGTCTCTCTCTCTTTTTTAAAAATATAAATTCTGTGATGTTTTCTATGTGCTGCCTAGGTCCAAGTTTTGTAGATAAAATCCTAAAAGATTAAGTCTTATACTCATCATAGTTATATAAGCTATATTTAGGTTGGAGAAGAGAAGCTGAGTGTACCCTAATAATTGTCCTTAGGTATACATATGAAAAGCTTTTCTATGGAAGATGGTGATCAACCGTTATCACCAGGAAGGCCAGAGCAAGCGAAAATGGATTCAGTTGCAGAGAGAGGAGTTGAGGTTAGATATAGACATGATTGCTTTACACATAATAGGCAATAGACATAAAGGCAATAAATGATTGTTGAACTAATGAATAGAAGCAAAGATATCTTGAAAGAGGTTAAGATGCTACAATAGATGCATGTCTTTGGAGATGGACGGATCTCAGTACAAGCTTCTTTACCCAGGATACTTTGGCTAAAACCATTCATGTCATCTTGGCTTAAAAGTTTTTCTCTTTTTACCAGAAAACAGAAACAAAACCTGTTTTTTTCTTTGTCAGATTGATAGTACCATCAAACCTGATAACCTGACATGTCCCTGTCTCATAGGAAATTTTACTTATATGACCCAAATGTCAGGATATAGATTCAGAATGGAGAACTCTGATAACCACTGAGAACATTGTCTCTCTAACAGGGTAACCTTTATATTGGGGTAACTCTAGCTAGAAAACAAAATCACTTATCCAGAGATTGCCATATGACATTATATTCTAGATGTATTTCTGTCATTGTCATTGATATAATTCTTTCCTTTCTGATTCAATTTATATTTTACTTCACTTTTATTGTCTAGTCAATATGGCTAATGATGAAAACGATAGTTGGGAATGAAATTTTAAATATAATGAAATCATAGTGTCTATATATTTCATCACAAGCTTGTAATTCAAATAAATATCTTAGCAATGTTGCATACTTCTTATTCTTTCAAATAGAGTTAAAGAAAGAGGATATTTATGCAGTAGAGATAGTTGGTGGTGCCACTAGAATCCCTGCAGTGAAAGAGAAGATCAGCAAATTCTTTGGTAAAGAACTTAGTACAACATTAAATGCAGATGAAGCAGTCACACGAGGATGTGCATTACAGGTGAGTTGATTTCATGAACTACTAACAGGCTTCAGATGATTTCTCACAAGTCCATAGGTGTATTGTTTTGTGGGACATAATATGGCGGTGACTCATTCTGCCATCTAATTGATCACAGTTTGGTATCAGAATGTAAATAGTATTGACTATTCTTCAAATTAAGATTTTTGAAATGTTTTCCTAACTTCTTAAAATGGAAAGTAACATCACTAAAATAAAAGAAATAATACTTAAGTGTACATATTAAGAAATTTAAGATAAATTTGGCTACAAAAATAGCGAAATATATACTTTAAAACTAAAGCTAAATGATTACTAGAATTTTGACAAATTATATTGTGCTGATGGGTAGAAAGGGGGAAGGAAGTAAAATTAGATATGGTTAGACTGTATTCCTTTGTCACTAAAGTTTTCTTTTGTTGGCTTGGTGAGCTCTTGATGGACCATGCCATACAGATAGCTAATTTTTTAGAAGTAAGACAAGCTTACAAAACTTACCAGCAAATGCTGATTCTGACACAGTATAATAAGAATGTGAATTCAAATATGTGAATTCAATTTTAAGGAAGACCAATTTGTCACAAATCAGTAAATTATAGATATGTTGATATTGGATTTATGGTATTTTTTGACTACCTATACCTGTAAAAATGTAATAGATGAATTTGTTGTTTTAGTGTGCGATATTGTCTCCTGCTTTCAAAGTACGAGAGTTTTCTACCACTGATGTTGTACCATATCCAATATCTCTTCGATGGAATTCCCCAGCAGAAGAAGGAATAAGGTAATAAAATCTTCCAGCAATTTAATACTTGCATCCATGTTCCTTGTAGCATCTTTCACAATTATTGAATTGTCTGTGGCATAGATTAAAAAAAGGCAGGTTTATCATCAGAAAAGCTATCAAATATTTTATGTATATTGTTTGGCACCATGCTAGGGGAGTTGAGGTATTAAAATATTAAGTGATAGCATATGCCCCTCCTAAATTTATGGTCAATTTAATCTTTTTTTTGTGTGTGTGTGTTTAACAGATGATAGTGAAATGTTTTCTAGAAAAAAATTGGAATCAGTAAAAACCAAGAATAGATTAAAGTTAGGATGTACTTTAAAGTATTATGGCTATTCTAAATGTGTGCTTTTCTTTTCCTTCTTTCTAGTGATTGTGAAGTCTTCCCGAAGAATCATGCAGCCCCTTTCTCTAAAGTTCTCACATTTTATAGAAAGGAACCATTTAATCTTGAGGCCTATTACAGTTCTCCTAAGGATTTACCTTACCCAGATCCTGCTATAGGTATTTTAAAGGGGTTAGGAATAAGATGGTGGATATTCTCAGAATTGTTCCTGTGTACTTGGAGAATTGAGGGATCAGAAAAATTTGGAGATTAGGAAAAATTCTAAAATTTGGTACAATGGAAAGAATGCAAAACTTAAAGTCAGTACCTGGGTTCACTTAATTTCTCTGATCTTCAATTTACTCATCCATAAAATATGGGAGATTTAACCAGATGATTTCTCAGGTAGCCTTTCCAGCCCTGATCCTACCAATCTTCAGAACTGATTAAATCAGAAAATACTTACAATATGTACACATTGATGTGCATATAATTGATTAGAAAGAAATGGAATATTAAGAAAACAATAAAAGAAATATTCCAGTTCAGTTCATGTTAAATGCCAAAGGAATGATAGGGACTGTCTGATTCTAGAGAATGAAGAGATCATTGACAGGCTATCCTGGTTAGGAAAGGCTTTGATGAAGAATAATAGATGGATTTGTATTTGTGGTGAGGGGTAAGAAAACACCTCATACTGGGAGGATAGCCCAAGCACAGGTATAGAAATGGCAGTGTGTGTTTGGGGGAGTATGTTTAGAGCAAAAGGTTCTTACTTAGAAGTAAGAGATAATGTTGGGGGTAGGTTGTAGGGTGCCTGGGTGCTAGAAATTTGAATTTTAGCTGTAGTAAGTAACTGGAAATTATTAAGGTAGGTGGGTGGTATGTGGCTGACCATGACAATGTGACTTCACGTTGTGTGGTAAGACAATTTGACAGTGGCATGAAAGATGAATTTGAAGTGTTAAGAGACAGTAGAGCCAGTTTGATCATTATAGATGCTTTTATAAAAATTAATTCAGGTACAGATTGGCAGGCCTGTATTAGGATGACAGGAATGAAGAGGAATAGAGTGCTGTAGAAGCAAGAATTAGCAAAACTTATTATCTAGGTATAAAAGGAAAAAATTAAAGATGGCTGATAATAATTTTGAGAGTACCCCTACATTTTATATTACTTAAAGTGACCATTGAAAACAAACTGCAGGTGTCATGGGACCTCCATTTGTAGCTTCTTATTTTCATTTTCTTCTTTTTGCTTGTTTTACTGTTACAATTTCTTTTATTAATTAAGCATTGTTCTCCTCTGTCCCTGATATGTTTAGCCCAATTTTTGGTTCAGAAAGTGACTCCGCAGACTGATGGATCCAGTTCAAAAGTGAAAGTAAAAGTTCGAGTCAATGTGCATGGTATTTTCAGTGTGTCTAGTGCATCCCTCGTGGAGGTACACAAGTCTGATGAATGTGAAGAGCCTATGGAAACAGATCAGCATACAAAAGAGGAAGAGGTAATCTCAGGTCCTAAAGGCCTCCGTTTTTTAACCCAGTACAAAAATAGTAACAAACTGGCTACAGATTGCAGTCCTTGTCTAGGATAATTTTTGGATGTTAAATACAGTTGGTGGGGGCAGCTTGTTGGCACATTGTATAGAGCACCGGCCCTGGGAGTCAGGAGGACCCGAGTTCAAATTTGGCCTTAGACACTTAATAGGTGTGTAACCCTGGGCAAGTCACTTAACCCTGATTGCCTTTTTCCCCCACATCCCCTCAAAAAAAAAAAATCAAAACATAAATAAATACAGTTGGTGTCACAGAGAAATTAAATGATTTTTGTGGGTAATTTGATCGTTATTCTGTCTCTTAGTTTGTTCTGGTGTTAGAGGGCTTTAGAAGATTTTGAATGGGCCATTTCTGTTTATTTCACTATATAATAAATCCAGTTATGTCTTATTGAAACTATGATACATGGGTTTTGTAGGAATTTTTTTTTTTTTTTATTTTGGAGGAGGAGGTGGTCAGAGCTGTTTTAAGGCCTCAAAATTTCCTCAGATAAATCAAAAAGGGAGTCAAGGCTTCCCAAGTAGTTTGATTTGAGGAAGAGATTCTATTGACAGATTCTGTAGGCACGTGAATCTCCTCTCTGAATCAGCCCATTGTGAACCCTCTAACTCTAGTTTAATCTGTAACTTGACTTAGTTTATAATGTATCTGTTTAATTAGGTTTGTTTACTTAGGGGATATGTGACAATATGATTCTGTTAAGCTAAATTTGTTCAACTTTTATGATATTGAAGGAAGGATGGAATTATAAATCTGTTTTAACTTTTATAGCCTAAAAGAAAGAATGAGATTGCAATATGTAAAAGATTATTTCTCTGTGACTTTGACATAATTTTGTCTATAAGAAGCTTTGTTAGAATCCTAGTTTTTGTTCAGGGGCTGTTTTTCTATCCCTCGGAACCTCTGCTTAAGCATGATAAAACCTAGGCTTTTACCTCTCTAATTTCAGCATTGTAGTAGAACTGTTTTGGTGGTAGTTACCTACCATATGGATACAAACAGGAGATATTTCTCCCATAACACATCTGATCGTGTGTTTTTTGTTTTTTGTTTTTTTGGCTAGGCAATGGGATTATGTGACTTGCCCAGGGTCAAACATTTACTAAGTGTCAAGTTTCTGAGATCGAATTTGAACTCGGGTCCTCTTGACTCCAGGGCTGAAGCTCTATCTACTGGGCCACCTAGCTGCCCTCCCCTGTCATTTTCATATTCAGTAAACTCCATGGCTTCCCTCTTGAGACTGGGTTTATCTCTTTTGATGTTCTGTGTCCTTCGCAACCCAACTCCAGCCTGCCTTTTCATCATGGTTATGTGTTAACCCTCTTGTTCCCCCTAGTGCCCACCCTGACTTAGAGAGAGAGAGAGAGAGAGTGTGTGTGTGTGTGTGTGTTTGTTTTGGGCTTTTTGTTGTTGTTTTTGGTTTGTTTGTTTTGTTTTTGTTTTCTTTTGTTTTTCATTTGAAATGTAAGGATGGTTTCCTTCTTTACTTTTGTATCTCCTTCTCCTACCACAGTACCTGGCATATAGTAGGTGCTTAATGGTGTTTACTGGTTGATTACATGTGTATGTAAGTCACCTTGTATATCATTGTTATTCTGCTCTGCTGTTATTTCCTCCAGACCCAGCGTCCAAACAAAAAAGCCAAACTTGAATAACCTAGTAAAGTTGCTTGAGAGTGAGGACTCTATACCTTGCATGTAGCAGATATATGAATAAATGTTTGAATTGATACAATTCTGTTGTAAAAGAAGGGGGAGGCAGCTGTTATTTCCTCATCTATCCACTAATACTATTAGAAAGTGAAACCATTAATCTGAAAAGTGCTCAAATTGAGTTTGGACTTGGTTTAATAAAAATAAAAATGGTTCTGATTGAGATTTGGAGAAAGTATCTTTAAGTTGATATTAAAAGTAGTTAACTGATTCACATGCAAGTATGCATCCTTCTGTGAGTTTTTAAAATATATTTTAATTGATAGTCTTTTTTTGTTGCATCACCAAAAGTTTCCACAATATTCTTCCCAGGAAGCCATCCCAGATAATAATTAATAATTTTAATAATAAAACAAATGAAGAGGGGGAATGAGCAACTTATGCTTTGGGAAAAAGTCTGAAAATATGTGTGGTGTACCGCTTTTATGGACCTTTCACCTCTGCAAAGGGATGGCATGGGGGCATCTTCTCATATCTCTTCTCTCTAGCCATGCTTGTTCTTTATAAATCTGTAGCATTCTTTTGATCGTTGCACATATTGTTTTCTTGGCTCTACTTAATTCTACCTTGCTTTCAACAATAGTTGCTCTACCAACAATGCACTAGTGCAATGATGTACTATCTTCCTACAACCACTCCAACATCAACTATTCCCATCTTTTGTCTTCTGGGCCAGTTTTCAGGGTGTGAGGTGAAACCTTGTTAGGAATCTTCCTTTGTATGGTTGTTTTAAGTGTGCGATTCTTTTGAGAACTGTTTGTTCATGTCCTTCGCACATTGAATAGACTGCTGTACCTGGATTCAGGAAGATGTCAGTTCAAATCCTTCCTGACATTTACTACCTTTGTGACCTCAGGCAAGTCACTTAACCTCTGCCTCAGTTTCTTCATCTGTAAAATGGGGATAAGAATATCTTTTATTTCCCAGGGTTTTTGTAAGGATAAAATGAGATAATATTTTTCAAAGCACTTTGCAAGCTTCAAGTTGTAAAAATGCTATTATTACATATATTATTATGGAATGACAGTGCAGCTTTTCCATGTCGTATGGTCAATTATCTATTTTATCTTTTGTAATTGCCACTTTCCCTTGTTTGGTGAAGAATATGTCACTTAACCCACATAAGTGAAAAGTAGATAATATACTTTTCTTCTAATTTTTTATGGTGTGATCTTTAATATTAGTCATGCCTACATTTGTAATCTTTTGTGGAATATGATATAAGGTGTGAATATTGACCACAGATTAATATTTGTATTTTATTGTTTTGTTTTGTTCAATATTTCCCAGTTACATTTTTATTTAAAGTATGTGTATTTCTGGCTTGGCTATAATATAAAATTTGGTCTCATCTTTTCACAGAAAATGCAGGTAGACCAAGATGAACAGAAAACTGAGGAAAACCAACATCCAATACAAGGGGAAAATAAGACAGAATCTGAAGAAATGGAGGTATAGATTGCATTTGAATCTTTAAAATAATTAGTATTAGGAATTCTTTTGTGTTTGTTTTAGTGCTGAATAGTTTTTTTATAGATTTTGTAGTTTACATTAACTGTGGCTAGCATTTGCAGACTTGTTCCTCAGCATTTGGCTATTAATACAGGCCATCAGGAAATTTCAACATTACTAGGGTAGTAGTAACTAATCCACATGACTGGTTAGAATGCTCTTAAGTAATTAAAGTATTCCACAGACACTGTATATTTTAAACTGTGTTTTAAACTGATTTTTCAATAAAAGTCTGAATTTTGGAGTTCACTTTGATTTGATATTTTTGTTTTTAAAAATGTGCATGATTTTAGATTTTCTTGTAAATAAAGCTTTTGTTTAAACACTAGCATAACTGAGTTTAAATTTAATCCGAGTGGTACAAATACATGTTTCTAAATTACTTAGATCCTATTTTGAATTTGACTTTTACGTTTAATTTTGATTGTATCTGTGATTACATTTAATTTTAATTGTATTTGTGAAAGTCTTTTGAAATGCTATTTTGCTTCTTGTATTATTTTGCATCATCTTAACTTTTTAAAATACTTTGGAAGGGGTGTCAAAGTATTGACCTTACCTTAAGAAAAGATTGTTATCCAGTTTGATAAGTTAATGACCAATTTTGATGGATGGATTTCTTTCTTTTTTTTTTTTTAAATTTTTTTAATTTTTAATTTTTTTATTTTTATCAGCAATCACTTCCATAAGCTTTTGAGTTTTAAATTTTTCTCCCCCTCCTCCCCAAGATGGCACACAATCTGATATAGGCTATACATATACATTCCTGTTAAATGTATTTTCACATTAGTCATGTTGTAAGGAAGAATTAGAACCAATAGGAGGAACCACAAGAAAGAAAAAACAAAACAGAAGAAAAAAAAATTGCTAATAGTGTGCTTTGATCTGCATTCAGACTCCATAGTTCTTTCTTTGGATGTGGATAGCGTTTTCCATCATGAGACCTTTGGAGATGTCTTAGGTCCTTGCATTGCTGAGAAGGGCTAAGTCCATCAAAGTTAGTCATCGCACAGTGTTGCTGTTACTGTGTACAAGGTTCTCCTGGTTCTGCTTACTTCACTCAGCATCAGTCCATACAGGTCTCTCCAGGTTTTTCTGAAGTCTGCCTGCTCATCATTTCTTATAGCACAATAGTATTGACGGATGGATTTCTTTGTTTTCAAATCTAAATTGTATTAGTGAAAGAACTTGTGAGGGATAATTTGGGCTTTGTATTTGTATAAATTATGGGTAATTTATCAGATTATTTCTAGGAGGAGAATGCATTCCAGCATCAAACTGACTTAGATCAAATTTTGCTTCAGAACTCAAATGAAAACTGGAAAACAGCCTGTCCTTACATGTTTGATTGTCATTGTTTTCTGTTTTGTAGACTTCTCAGCCTGGGTCCAAAGATAAAAAAATGGATCAACCACCTCAAGCCAAGAAGGCAAAAGTTAAAACCACTACTGTGGATCTCCCTATTGAGAATCAGTTGTTATGGCAGATAGGAAGAGAAATGTTGAACTTATACATTGAAAATGAGGTAATTTTTCATGTTTTCTCAATTGCAAACTAATGACTTAATACTTTGGAACATAAAGACATTTGAGTTTAGTGAATGAAGTAGATTTTCACTTGAGATATAGTAGCTAATATAAGTAGCAAAATCTTCTGCATCATTATAAATTGTCTTGTTCTAAGGAATAATTTGTGAAATTTAGAGATGTATAGCTATCCTTTGAAGTGTACTGTTAGATGAACTCTTGAGTGTTCATTTCTTCCCTTCCAGTTCAAATAGTGCATAACAGGTACTTTGGTCAGAGTGACATAGGTTATGGGCCAGAGAAAGCATTTATTCTGTTCAGTTACAATATTGTCTGCCTGTGTTTCTAGTTCTCCATAACATTTGCTCCCCCTCCCACATATGCTGAAATAGTATTTGCATAAAATCTTCTTTGGAATTTTATTTTTAAAGAATTCAATACTGAAATGAAAATGCATTCTTTCATCCTTAAAAAAGTCATTCTGTTGTTTGGAAGGATTTGGTTGGGAGAGTTATGAGAAACTTTTGTATTTTCCGCCTTCTGCTCTTGCAGATTGTAGGACTCTAACATTCATAACATTCTTACATTCATAATTTAGCATTTTTAGCCAACATCTTACTAATTTTTCCTTTTCTCAGGGTAAGATGATCATGCAGGATAAGCTGGAGAAGGAAAGAAATGATGCCAAGAATGCTGTAGAAGAATATGTTTATGAAATGAGAGACAAACTAAATGGCCTATATGAGAAATTTGTTAGTGAGGATGTAAGTACTGGTTGGGAAATTCAAAATTTGTGCGCTTTGAAGATCCATGTATGTTTTGCAAGGTAATAAAATTAGTTCAGAATGAACTAATGAATAATTATTTAAATCTGTAGAGAGCAATGATTGAAGTTGATCAATCTAGAATTTCATGGATTCAACATGCTTTTATTTAGTTAGGATACTAAGATAAAAATAGAATGGATTCTAGGAATCCTCAAGGAGTTTACATTCAATTGTGGCATAGGAGTTGAGGGAGTAAACACAACTTTTGTATACAGTTAAGTCAATACAAAATTACGTAAGTAAATATAAAATAATTTGAGGCATGGAGAGAAGGATACTAATAACTGTAGGAATCAGGAAGGAACTCCTGTAGACAATGGCAGTTGAGCTGAGCCTTGAATAGTCATGATGATAATAATTGCTAACATTTATATAATGATGACCATGTGCCAAGCACTGTGCTAAGCACTTTTCAAATATCTTATTTGATTCTCACAACCACCTTGGGAGGTAGGTGCTGTTATTATGCCCATTTTACAGATGAGGAAACTGAGGCAGGCAGCAGTCCTGTGACTCGCCTCAAGTCACACAACTAGTAAGTATCTGAGGCCAAGTTTGAACTCAGGTCTTCTGATTCCAGGCCCAGCTATCCATTGTACCACCTGTTGTCTTTAATTTCTATGAAGGAAGCTAATTACTCTAAGGGGTACACATAAGAACAGAGTCTATTCCAGGCTTAGGAATGTGGGGGTGAGAGGGAATGGGAACACCACACCCTTCCTGTGCAGAAGCAGGAAGGTGGGAGCTCAGTACGGCATTTTGGCCTTTTTGGCTGGAACAGAGGAGTAGGAGGGGAAATGTGTGAAGTCCAGCTATAAAGATAGGCTGGGTTTAGATTGCAAAGGTCACAAAAAGTACAACAGTGAAGTTTGTACTTTATCCTGGGGAGAGTAGGAATTCACTGAAGTTTTTTCAGCAAGGCTTTTGATATTGTTGGACCTGGGTTTGGATAGAGTCGATACTGTGGAGGATAGATTGGACAGAGGAGAGTTAGTCAGTGGAAAGGCTTGTGGCTCTATGAGTAGAGAAAGGGGACAGCAAGACTTACTGGATCATTTCAGTGCCGGGAAAGAGAGTGGCTAGGAGGGGTGTGGTGTTACCAACAGAACGAGGAAAGTTAGGAAAAGGGATGGATTTGGAGAAAAAAAAAATGAGTTATATTTTGGACATGCTGAGTTTAAGATGCTTCCAAGGACATCTGTTTGAAATGTGGGACTACAGCACAGGAAAGAGAGTAGGGCTGAATACATGGGTGTGAGAGTCATCTACATTGAGAGAAGTGAACCCATAAGAGCTGATGAGACTACTGAGATAGAAAGGAATCCTCTGGGACATCCTTGGTAATGACGTTAGAGATGGATGATGACCCAGCAAAGGAGACTGAGGAGTGACCAGAGAGCACCAAGCCAGTATCACCAGAGTCAAGAGAGGAGAGTTATGGGAGGGAGGGGAAGGATGTGATCAACAGGCATTTATTAAATAGTCAGTAGTGTCAAATGTTATGTTGGGGTAAGAAGAATGAGGACTTAAGAGGCCAGCCTATTTAGTCCTTTGTAGACAGCAGCTTCTTCTTAGTGATGATATCAGAAACCAGACTGTAGAGAGTTGGCAAGTTGAGTGAGAGAGGAGAGGAAGTCAAGGCAGCCAGTGGGGACAGCTTTTTCTTTTTTGGTGGTGAAAGGGAGGAGAGAGATAAGAAGATTGTCTGAACATACTTTATTAGCAAATTGTTTTTCTTTCTAGGTTATATATATTAAATTTTTCTTTTTTAACTTTTAGGATCGTAACAGTTTTACTTTGAAATTGGAAGATACTGAAAATTGGTTGTATGAAGATGGAGAAGACCAGCCCAAACATGTTTATATTGATAAATTAACAGAATTGAAGGTAACTGCTATTTGACTAGTGCAGTAAAAATATTGTTTTATTGTGACATAATGAAACTACAATAAACTTGGAACTAAAATTTCTTGAAATCCTATTATACCAAGTGAAAAAATTCAGCGGAAGTCAGGTCCATCTTGGACCTCATTCCCAGAAGGTTTGGGGGCTTCCTAAAATACCCACCTAACTATTACAGGATAGTTTTACTTACAAGGTATAGTGATAATGTAACTCAAGATTTCTTGTCTGAATAAAGGTATAGTAATCACAGCAATAATAATAGCTAGCATTTTTATAGTGTTTTAAGGTTTGCAAAGTGATTTACAAAATATTGTTCCATTTTTTATACAACAACCCTGAGAGGTAGGACAGAAAGGATTACTGAGGCAGACAGTTATGTGATTTGTCCAGGATCACACGGCTAGGAAGTTTCTCAGGTGGGTTTGAACTTGGGTCTTGCTGATTTCAGGCCCAGTGTTCTATCCACTGTGCTGCCTTTACAGTGAAAGACGAAATGCAATAAGGTGGTGATTTCAAGTTGTTTACATTGTAGCCTAGTCAGTCTCATTTGTAATAGTTAAGTTACACGTTATAACATCAAGAAATTCAGTGTAACTAATACCTATTTGGTGTCAGCAAAGTGTAGTACTGAAAACTTTGCTCATGTAATTGAATAATAGAAAAAATTTCCTGACTCGAGGCGATTAATGTAATTGGGAGGTTTAGAAATTTAAAATTAAATTAGCATTTCATGCATTGGGGAGAATAGAATTTTAGCATAACGTGTAATAAGGAGAAAACAATGTCAAGTCAATAAGAACTTATTAAAGCATTTACTATGTTCTAGGCACTGTGTTTTTCTGGGAAGGGGTGACCTGACTGGCCTGCAGCTTAGTTTCCTGCCTTTCTCCTTTATGGCAAGAATAAGTGTTGCGTGGCATTTGACTTGGGCATTCCTCAGCATGACTGCTGTAATTTGTAGAGATAGCCACAGAGAGGGGAAGCAGTGAGTGCTGAGGTGATAGAGAGGAGTGGTCTAGAAGCTGACTCATTGCTTAGACTTGGAAATGATTATCCCCATCTCATACATGGGATATACTTGTTCAGATATGTAATAATTTCTGTATTTCAGTGTTCTACATAACAGTAGGAAAAATAATATTCTAGTTACCCTGAAACTGCCCTAACAATGCATTGTGTGTTTCTTTTTCCCCAAGAATCTGGGTCAGCCTATTAAAAATCGGTTCCAGGAATCTGAAGAAAGACCAAAGGCATTTGAAGAACTGGGGAAACAAATCCAAATGTTTATGAAAATAATTGACTCTTTCAGAAACAAGGTATCTTTTTCCTTTTCCTTTTGCAGGGGTAGTTTTGAGGAGTTTTCAGTTTTTTTTTATTCCCTTCAAAGAGTAGTATTTCTATCACAAAAAAAAAAGTCATCCAGGTTTCTAGTATCAGTATTCTTTTTTGAGATATCTTAAAATACTCCAAAGGAAGTATCACTACATAATAATAGTCTCTGGTATTTGCCCATTTTTACATATATGGAGAAGGAGGCACAGACAGGTTGACTTGATCTGGGTTACACGGCTAGTACATGTCAAGAACCTGGACTCCAGCCAAAGTCTTTGGCACCAATTCTGGTGCTGAGTCTCATTGCTCTTTTGACTTACTGCCCTGCATATACTCTAATTGCTGGATATTTTAGTGTTCCCTCCACCTCCACTTGTAGACAGTACAGCATACTAATAGACATAAATAGACATTTATAACAACTACTATGTGACAGACACTGCTAAGCACTTTACAGATTTCATTTGAGCCTCTCAACATTCCTGCAAGGTAGGTGCTTTTATTATCCCCATTTTATAGTTGAAGAAACTGAGACAGACAAAGGTTAAGTACCTTGCTCAGGATCACACAACTAGTAAGTATCTGAGGCTCGATTTGAATTCAGATCTTCCTGATTCTGGGTCCAGCCTAGACTCTATCCACTGCCCCACCCTACTTGCCTCTACAAACTGGATGTACAGACCTTTAATTTCTAATTTTTATTTCTAATATTCATTAATTTGATATTTATTTAATAGCTTAATGATATTTATTACTTTCTAATGCTTATACAATAAAACTGGCACCTTGGATTTTACTGAGGGAATGGCTTTTACAAGAATAAAAGTTGATTTTTAACACATTTGGTTTTGCTCTTCAACTCCTTATGTTACCACCTTTTTTAAAAATATGCAAAGTGGTTTGAATCCTAATGAAGTCTTTCAATTAATACTCTTTTCAGATGCTCTTGGAGTTTAATACCTCTGTCCTAATAAAACAGTATCAGGGAATTATTTCTTCCTTAAAGACATTTGAAAGCACTTTGTTTCATATTGTGTATTTTAATCAAGATGTTTAATTTTCTGAGTGTACAATCTGACCTGTTTTGATGGAAGGTGAAATTCTGTCTGTATTTTGGTAGGGAAAAACATCTTAAGGCAGCTGACCTGACTTATTGATTAGTTTTTCATCCTGTTATAGGAAGAACAGTATGACCATTTGGATGCAGCAGATGTGCTGAAAGTTGAAAAGAGCAGTAACGAAGCAATGGAATGGATGAACAGCAAGCTAAATCTTCAAAACAAGCAGAGTCTTACTGTGGATCCAATCGTGAAGACGAAGGATATTGAAGCAAAAATCAAAGTAATTTACTTACATGTTTATGACCTTATTCCCATTTAGTTAGCTTAATTACATGACTCGACTTAGTTCTTGAGTATAATTTAGAGAGCAACATGTAAGTATTTTAATATATAGAACTTGGGATAAAATGTGACCAGTTGCCACTTCTTGAGATTGTTGATTTAGAGCTCAGTGAGCCAGTAGAGGTCATTTACTCTTGACAGATGAGTAAACTGAGGCCCAGGAAAATTAAGTAACTTGCCTGGGCTCCTACACGTAGTAAGAATCAGAAGTGGGACTAAAATAAAATAAAGTATTTCTTGGCCATTTGTAAAAAAAAAAAAAAAATCCCAATGATTTTGTCTCTGTTTTAGGAGCTTACAAGCATTTGTAACCCTATAGTTACGAAACCTAGACCCAGAGTGGAGCTTCCAAAAGATGATGAACATGTGGAACAGAATGGACCAGTAGAAGGACAAGATGATAGCCACGGAGGGGCTCAGTCCACTGAGCAGAATATAGATCCAAGCACCTCCCCAGATTCTGAGAAGAAACTTCCTGAAATGGACATTGATTAATTCCAGCATTTGTTTATATTAAAACCCACTTATCATAAAGCTTTAAGTTGTCAACTTTGTTCTAAAATAGCAAAGAAACAGATTAATATTGCAATTTATTTAGAGTTTGTTTTCTAGTTTTTTTCTCTTGAAGGGAAAATCCATGTATTGAATATGAAAACTGCAAAATGCGTCAATACACCATCCAGTATGTTGTCTGTTTTCCTCATAGTTCTTATCTTATACCTGTTTACTTTAAACTTCCTGAAGCAGCAGTTCCTTTTTTATTTTTTACATTTGATCAGATTGGAGAAGTTTATTATGAAGATCTAGGCCAGAGAACTGTAATTAGCTGTTGATGAAGCTTGTTAGGATGCTCTGGCCATGGGCCTGCAAGTATATAACTGTATTTTAAACATTGTTGGGGGTGGGAAGGAGGGAAACTAGAAAGGCATGACTTTCTGAGGTTTTTCTGTAGCACAGAAAAAGATGGTGTCCTAATTCTTTCTTTGCTTGTATATTAAGACACTCCTTAAATGAACAGATTCCCTCATAGCAAGTTCCATAATATGTTAATCTATTTGGAATACAAATTAAATGAGTGGGGACGTGTTTTAATCAGGGTTTTAGACCTGAAAGAGGCTTCTTAAGTTGTGTTATATATCCCAGTCACCAAAGTTTAAGCAGATCTTTAATGGATGTATGATATCATGGCTAAGATGTTTTCCTGAATTTAGTAGATATGAAGTAGGGTGTATATCAAGATAAACACATCCAAGAAATGTACATTTTAGTCTCTGTTCAGATTGAGTTGTACTCTTAGATGGTTATTCTAATGGGAATGTTTTGTCCGCCTTGGGAAGTGCTGAAGAGTTAGTTAAGTAAGAGTTGCAAATTTCTTAAGTTCAGACACACACTGGCTGTTACCATAGAATATCTATGATGAACCTGCAAATACTCATTTGTGTATTTTGAATCAAATAGATGCAAAACTACAAAAAGTTAACAAGAAATAAATACACTGGATTATACTGCATGAGTTTTAAATTGGTTTAGAATAGATATAATGGAAACTTCGGATATATTCTTGGTGTTGGACTTCAGAATTTTGCACTAAAGCAGTGATTTCCAACTTTTATGTTAGGTAGCGCTCATAAAAAAATTTCATGGACCTTATCTGCCCCTTTCCCACCCCCTATCCCAACTTATATCATGGGTTGAAAAAAATAGCTTAAAACTACTATGAATTCAGTGACTTAATTGAATTTGTATTTTATTCACAACAGCATCTGGATGTATTTACAAGTTAGTAATACATGTTCGTGTGTGATATTCACTCTACAGACAGTATTGTTAATGCTTAGGCTGTTTGTGAGATGGACACCTTGCAGTAATTTTGAGGGATCCTTGGCCCACGAGTTGGGGACTTTTGTTAAAGCGATATTTATGTACCCAGTGAGAGAAAATAGTGGTTGTGTTTAGCATTTGGGAGACCACAGGAAATGTCATCAACCACTTTTTTGTGTGTGGTGAAACTAATAATCCCTCCTTAGTGACTCTTGTAAGTAATGTCACATAATATAATTTGGAAATTTATAAGGCAGACTGTAATTCACATACATTGGAAATAATTTGCATGTGTATGGTATACTGCTTATTATATCATTATGCCACAGCATAATGGGAAAGGGGAGTAGGATATAGCATTGTCATTAGAAGGGAACTTCCTCTTTTTAAAAATGAGGAAATGGTCCCAGAAAGCTTGGGTCACACAGGTAGAAAGTGACAGAATGTGTTTTAGAATCCAGACCTTCCGTCTTCAAAACCTATCACCTTTATCCTACATCACATGGGGTTCGATATCTGGATTACTTCTCTATTCCTATTCTGAGGAGATAGAACATGTGTAGTGTGGACTGCTCTATTCCTTTTTCAGCTTCAGCTTAGTTCATAGGATCATTGATCTAAAGCATGAAGGGGTTTTATTAGCTAATCTAACAATTGGGAGGAGGTGATTGATTCTGCTCAGTTTAGGGCTGAATAGCTATTTAGAATGTCAAATTTTGTGAGATGAATCCAGAACAGAAGTTAGTGGGAATTTTTTTAGATGGTCAGGAACTGGGCATATGTAAGACCTTGTGCAAGGGGGGGAAGGGAAATAAGCATTTAAGAGCCTAAATAGCAAGGCAATGTGCTAAGAACTTTACAAATATCTCATTTGATCTTCACAATAAACCTGTGAGGCAGGTGCTATTCTCATTTTACAGTTGAAGAAACAGGTGATCAAATTAAGTGACTTGTCCAGGGTCACCCAACTAGTAAGTGTCTGGGGCTGGATTCTGTATTTTATACACTGTGCCACCTAAACTGCCTCAGAGGAGAGGTAATCTGATTTGGGTACAGGTATGAAAGACAAATGCTTAATGATGGAGGATTTTCTGAACCAGCAACTTGAAGGGTGGGTGTAACCCACAAAGGAGACACAAGGTCACTACACAGAGATGTGTCTTGAAAAGTATGAGAAAATAAGATGGCAGGAAATACGTAATTAACAATTATAATTGAATGGGATGAACTCGTCCATATTAAATGGAAGAAAGCCATATTAAAAAAAAACACTTGAAACTGAATGATGCATATAGAATTAAAATTTGGGTTTTGATCAAAATGTGTTTTGCTCCAGTTGAAGATTAAAGCATCTAAATTCTGAAAGGGAAAGTTTCTAGGAAAAATTACAATTCAAGCAGTACAGGATTTTAGTATACCTCTTTCAGGCCAAGATAAAGTATTAGTTAAATTGACAGAAACTTTCACCCTATTGTGTGTCAATGAGACTGACAACCAAAGTGAAATGGACTAATATTTACAAAAATGTAAAATGCTCAAGTTAACAGAAAATAGAGAATTTAGCCCCTCTAAAATGGAATAAGCCATAAATGAGCTCCCAAATGAAACCAAACAAAATTCTGACCCCAGGTAGATTTACTAGCAAATGATATCAAACATTCAAAGAATAATTAGATCAGCTGTAAATCAAGGGTACTACCAAATTTCTTCTGTGATAAAAAGGTAGTTTTGATTCCTAAACCATAGACTAGAATCCTTAATGGTCATTGATGTAATAATTTTTAATAATTTAGTTTTGATTCCTAAACCATAGGTCAAAATCCTTAATGGTCATTGATGTAATAATTTTTAATTAATAATTTTTAAAATGTTAATAAGGAGATTATAATGTGAGTTTTGTACACTATGATGAGGTTGAATTTGTGCCTAGGATGCAGGGTTGACTCAATATTAGGAAAAATGTCAACATAAATCAACAAAGCCATGATTATATCCATAGATGCTGAAAAGACTTGTGATAAAATCACTTAATGTTAAAAACTAGAAATAATGGAAACAAATGGACCTTTCCTTAATGTAGTAAGCAATATTTCTCTAAATCCAAGATCAAACAGGTAATGGAGAAAAGTTAAAGGCCAGTGAGATCAAGGGTAAAGCAAGAATGTCCATTATCCCTTTTACCATTTTACACTGCGAAAATGTAAGCATAGCCATAAGACAAGAAAAGAGCAAAATAAAGTGATAATATTTTGGAGATTGTTGGAGGATTGGTTTAGCAAACTCTAGAAAGTCAACTAAAAATAATTAACCAGCAAAATTGCAAGATAGAAAATAAACCCTCATAAATAATTTCTATATTTCAACAACCTAGCAGGAAGAGAAATTTCATTGAGAACTTAATGGTATATAAAATACTTGGAAATCTATGTGGTAAGAGACACAGGAAGTGTACAAGTAATATAAAACATTCTTTACACAAATTATAACATGTAAATGAAGAAATATTGATTACTCGTGTAGGCTGAGGCAATATAGGGAAAATGACATTATTATCTAAATGTCATAAACTACCAAATAATTGCCATATAGAACTAGAAAAAAATGAGAGCCACCTATAGGACCAAGAGGTCAAGAATCTTAAGGGAAATAATGGGGGAAAAAAGTGGGAAGGGAGTTAGTCTAGAAGTACCAGATCTCAAACTACTACAAAGCATTTTTAGAAAAATGGTTAAAAAAAAAAAAGGCCGAGTAGTGGAACAGATTAGGTAGACAATATAAAGAAGGAAATGAGACAATAGCTTAGTATTTGATAAACCCAGAGATCCCAGTTACTAGGATGAAAGCTTACTATTTGATTTAAAAAAAAATGGGAAAACTGGAAAGCAGTTTGGCAGATACATCTCACACTATGTCCCAAGGTAAGCTCCAAATGGGTACATGACTTAGAGTGATATCAGAAAACAAATTAGAGGGACAAAGAATAAATTACTTTTCAGAAAATAAAAAGGGGAAGAGTTCAAGACCAAAGGATAGATGAAAAGAGAAAATGGACAGTTTTTGATTACATAGAATTTTAAAATGTTTGCACAAACAAAACCAGGGTAGCTAAGATTCAAAGAGAAGAAGGTAACAGAAAAATCTGTCGCTGGTAAATATTTCATTTCAGATTTGCAGAGAACTGATTCAAATTTATAAGAGCAAAAGTCTTTTCCCGAAATGATAAATGGTCAAAGGATAGAAACAGGCTGCTTTCAGAGAAAGAAATCCAAGCTATCAATAGTCAGATGGGAGGAGAGAGGAGAAGCTTCAAATCACTAATAATTAGAGAAATGCAAGTTAAAGCAACTCTGAGGTTCTACCTTATGTTTATTAAATTAGCAAAGGTGACAATAAAAGGAAATGAATATTATTAGGCAGTTGAGGTACATTAATGCATTATTCATAGAGTTATAAATTGCTCCTGCCATTCTTGAAGACAGTTTGGAACTGTGCCCCAAAAGTTGGTAAACTCTGTGTGCACTTGGGTCCAGTGATAGCACTACTAGATTTATATCCCAAAAAGACTAAAGAAAAAAGAAAAGGACCTATATATCTAAAAATAATTTCAGCAGCTTTTTTTGAGGGTGGCAAAGAACAGAAACTAAGGAGGTGTGAGTAATGACTGATCAAATGATGATATGAATATAATGGGATACTATTCTGCACGAAGTGATGAAAGTGATAGTTTCAGAGAAAACTATGAAAACTTATATAAACTGATGCAGAGTGAGGGAAACAACTAAGAGAACAATTTATACAATAATAATATTGGAAAAAGGCAAACAAATTTAGTAGTACAAATAGATTTAGTAACTGATTAACACAATGACCAATCATGATTTCAGAGGACCCGCAATAAAGCATGCTACCCATCTCCTGACCTAGAGATGATAGACTCAGTGCAGATTGAGATATAAGTTTATTGGACATGGCCAAAGCATGAATTTGTCTTGTTTGACTTGGCATATTTATTACAAGGGTTTTGTTTTTTCTTTTCTGGTGATGGAATGGGGAACTAATGTGTTGAATTAGTTAAATAAATATTAATGTGTTAAATTTGCTAAATACTTGAAAAAACAAGCTGTATATAACATTCATTATTTCATATATGATCTTCTGTTCCTTATATATGGAAATGTTATATTGGGGGAGGGGAGGGATATAGGAGGAAAATTATGCAATGTAATAACAGAAGATACCAATAAGAATTTATTTTGAAAAATAAACAAGGGACTTCTGACTAGTCCCTGAGGTCAAAGGCAATTCTTCACCAATGACTTTTTTCAATGGACATACTTCATCATGATCCCAGGAATTCCTTTGGATAGTTGAAAGGTTTGGGTGGTTAAGGGAGGGAGGGTGGCAGCAGTTTTACCAAAGCTTATATATTTGCCTTCATAAGAGCTATTACCTCTCAATTGGACCTAGGAAAATTATCTCCAAAAGCCTTTTAAATTGTGGAAATCATGGTAGGAATACAGCCACATCAGGAATAGCCCAGGTGAGATCTAATATGCCTTCAGCTCATGACTCTATCCCTGACAACTGGCATTGGTGGGGTAGGTATGAGAAAACATGCTTAGATGCCTCCTAATGTTTAATCTTAAAACTGAGCAGACTTGGGTGTGATTACTGTTTGGACTCTT